TGATGACACTTTAAGAAAATCCCTTACACTAAGGAAACATCTTCTGTAAGGTAAATCTAAGCAGGAAATCGCATACGAAAGGATTCCTTATAAAAGATCAGGGACAATTTAAGGGAAGGTCTGTATAAACACATCTTCAATAGAAGGCTTGTCTCGCTTTAACTACGTACATCTTATCAAGGCCTTCATGTAATATGCTGCATTTTTCGGCACTAATTTCAATTGGGTATTCACACAGCTTGAGAGCATATCAGATTCCTCGATCATCGCGAATACCAAGTCTCGCGCTTTCAAGCTAAAATGTCTACCTGTGATAATCGAGTTGCAAAGTTCAAGATTCGTTCAATGTCAAGGTTTCCGCGGAGGTCACTTTGTCACAACCTCTGATTGGACGCTACTGCTCACGTGTCTGTAGATAACATACGAGTAACCAAGCAACGTCCAAATTTGGTACAACTCGCAGTCGTTACTTCAGGAATACGGTATATACAAGGTCTTATGTAAAACCTCAATTCTCGCTAAACCCCGTGATGCACGTGCGTTGATCTTAACACATAGCTACACCCCCAAGGGGATAAACAGTTTATCACATTGGAACATCAATTTTATGGCGCAATAATCTTTGCTGTCAGCTGCTGCATACCTAGCAGCTTATTGCATTTTAACTAAAAACATTTTGAAAGGAAAATTTTGGTGTCCACCAATTTTAAACATGTGATAGATTAAGGTAGTGAGCGGTAATAGTGGCAGCCACATGGTCCATTCCTGGAGACGAAAAGGTTGTTATAAGAGACTGTAAGGATATATCAGTTCCAAACAAACTGCTGTGTCAACTGCTCGTGAAGACGGGTATACGCCTGTGAGGGAAATTTTGCCCGGATAGAGGCACTACGGCCTAGTCTTATATCGAATTCCAACTGCCAAGGGATCCTTAACGTTCACGCGAGTGTGAACGACTATATCTTGTTCCTTGCCATGCCCTTTGATCCTGCACCACTGACAAGGGGGAACCAGGCCGGAAAAGCCCGATGAACTTTCTTGACCACTGCAGGGATCGAAAACGGGACCTCCAGGTTAGCGAGCCAACGTCTTACAACGTCGGTAACAATAATTAATTTCGTTTTATTTCGTCACTTCCGGAATATTAAAATCGTTGTTATGAATAAACCACGAGAAAAATGTCCATGTCAATTTAAAGAATCGGTTTAACCAGTTCTTTTAACTACACATGTACAATTGATGGACACCGAAATCTGTTTCGTTCATTTAGATTAGGCCTACTGTCGGAAGTAGTCACAATAACAGGCTAAAGGCCCAAGCAGGATTACAAAACTAGGAGAATAATACTAACTTAATCAACAATTCTACACTCAGTGAAACAACATATCTTATAACAGTGATTTATTTTAAAGTGTGGCCATATTGGAAGGTTTTCATTTAATGAAATGGGAATTTACGTCCTACTGTTCTGGACTAACCAGGATAATGGCGACGGCGGAAGTTGGTCATCTAAATGCCTGTAAACTTCTATCTAATCTGCCTTGGTGATCAACTTTAGAGACCGGAACTGTTAAGCCACATTTAAATGTGTTGCCAAAATGAACTGATTTATACTCGTGGGTTTTGTTATATTTTGTTAATTTATTGTTTTTTTAATTTATGAATTATAATTATGATTGTGATGTATTTTATTTAGTATGTTATATGTTATATATCGTATAGTGTACATATTATATGGTAGTTTAATGGTCGTCCTCGCTAGAGATAAGGGGGCATAATTTATAGGTGACACCACAGAGGAGGCGGTCCCACGTGACGTCATTGTTTACCTTACAGCGTTGTTTCCTTGTGCATTCATTATGAATTGGTGTGTTGACAAACTTTAATCCCGATACGTTGAAATACGGTTCTCTTACCAATAATAAGCTCACGTGGAACCGGGTTTTTACTAGCGACGCCTGGTGGGAAGTCCTTCAGCGAGGACGGCCATTGTAGTTCCTCTCACCCTTCCTGTCCGTTCATATTAACTAGCAATTAATGAAATTAATGAAAATGGCACTTGATCCCCACCTCTGTTGAAAGGCTATTTTGAAGTCCTTACCCTCCATTATCAAGTAGAATTTTGTGATTTATGTTTTTGATTTGCAAAATTCTACTTGACAATAGTGTTGGATTATTATAAATTTGTGTCAGATGTGGCGAGAAATGGCTCCTTTTAGCGAATCAAGAAGAATTACCGTGAAAAGAGATAAGGTGAGGACTACAAAATAGCCTTATAACAGAGGTGGCGTAAGGTGGCATTTTCATATTGCAGCTAAATAGGAACGGACAGGAACGGTCAGATAACTTCGTCCGTTCCGAAAGGAACTAGTATAATTGCTGATGTTATTCGGAAAAGGCCATGCTGAATATTTTAGTCTGTGATTTTAGGCCAAAGGGACCCCTGAGAATGATGCTCAGGGATTTAAGCATGCATACCATTCTCAAAATTAGGAAAGTGTATGGGTTCTAAACAGTTCTAATCAGTAGGACTTGTAAAAGGGCCGGAACAGACCCTAAGATTTGAAATGTGTCTCAGACACGCCATTAAGCTTAGATTTCTTCATACGGTGTAGGTGGAATCACCCCTTCCTCTATTTTCTCAAAACAATAACAATTTAGTAAACTGTAATGCGTTACTTTCTAAATTTGTAATAAATAATCATATTGAGGTAACGTCCTATTGTTCTGCATGGACCGAGATAATGAACATATGCATACACCATTATTTGGTGCAATGTCTATTTTCTGTCTTGTCCGCAGGTTTATCTTGTAGATTTTTGTTTTGCGTGTAGTGCGGTCCTTACTATTATAGTGTGCATGAGGGGAATTTTGCCAGGAGAGTGGCGTTTATGTCTGATCTTCATCGAATTCCTACTGCCAATTACGTGCACACCAACATGTACATGGGAACTGAGGACTTCGGTTGTTCGCCCTTCGTCCTGCACCACTGACAAGGAGAACCCCGACTGATAAATCCCGTAGTATCTCAACTCACAGAGGGATCGAACCCACGACCTCTTGGTTAGTGGGTTACACTATCTTTGAAAAGTCACGAACGCTTCTGTGATCTGTATACCCCCTAGAGGGCTATTAGGTCGCATATAATCAGCTAAACATTAGTTAAAGGAAAATATTGGTGTCAGTCATTATCACATATGTTTTTATTTTAAATGAATAAAAAAAGGGACTATTTCTTTTTGTCTCGTGTTCTCATATCTAGTGACATTCCATTACTATTTTGAATTATCAGATATCCTCTTACAGTCTCACATAACAACTTTTAGTCTTCGAAGGAATTATTAGTGAGACGAAATTCGCCCGTGTATCTGTTATCACTCGTCACTTCCGTTAGATATATAGAAGGATAACTCGTGTTTTCCTTTTGCGTCCGTCACTTCCGTTTCTTGAAATCTTCATAACGCCTCTATCGTAGAATTGATCTCTGTGTTAAAATTATATTTGGAACATGTTTAACCAGCTCTGACACATATGTGATAATGACTGGCACCAATATTGTTCTTTAAATGCTTCCCGGTGAGTATTGCCGATATTTAAAACAACAAACCAACGAAACCAACATATCATTCATTATAAGTGTAAAATATTAAGCGATAACATAATATAAAAATATATGAATTGAAATGAAATGAAATGGGACTTTATCAACCGTGGTGATGAAGACCGGAAAATTAACTCAATAGTTCCCGGACGATTTCAGCTTGAATCCTGATCGCCGAGAATTTTGCGATGTTTTCAATCCTGTTTGGTTGTTAATCTAATCTAGACAGTGGAATATAAAATGTGCCAGACAGATAGTCGCTTCAGAAAACAAATCAACGCAACATATGTTATGTTTAATAAGTTAAAAGCGTGATATTTTAAGAAACTTTATTTACAAAACGAAAGTAGAAAAGATGTAGAATTTGTATTTTTATGGAAGTGGTAAGCCGGTTGTGTGACAATTCCACCTTTTATTGGTTGATGAAATTAATGTTGTTTATTTTGATTGATGGGTTTATTTTAAAATCAATGAAACTTAGGATAATATTATTGAAGTAGTAAAATTGTAATTTTTTATACAGTGTATGTAGAAATGTAGTTGTTTCATAAAATAAAATATACTATTCAAATTTTTATAGTAAGTAATTTATACAAAATGGGATCAACTTTGTAACAAGTGTCTTGTTGAATTCTTGTTCTACAATTTGTAAAATCCCAAGGCCGGTTGTGTCCAGACGTAAGGTTTAGAAGTTTGTCATTTAAAGATAGATTAGTTAAGATGTCAAAAAAAAGAGAAAATATTGAAAATTGCAGTCAAATTACTTTATTCTGAATGAAATTTTGGATTAGAAATAGGCACCAACTGTCTCCGCACCGTCTACGAGAATAGCCGATCGTTTGATTGACAGACGATAACTCCGCCCACATATTCTAGATTATCAAGTAACATTCTTTATGCCTACGGTACCTTTGATTGTCAGTCCTTTCATCGACAGTCTCCGGTAGTGACGTCAGTAATTAACGGTAAATGTTAGTTTGGTCAGCCATTCAATGATTTAATTATTAAATGGAGGACTGTTTAAATCCAAGCTGTATCCAAGTCATCCGAGGGTTACCATTTACTAGTTTGTGCATGTTACTACACCCAGGGTTGAATAGGACTATCTTAAAAGCCCTAGTTTTGGATTCTAAAGGATTAAAATCATTCGATAAATGATAAATAAAGAGAGAGAGATGGGGTTTAACGTCCACTCGACACAAACTAGGTCATTTCGGGACTAACACATGGTTCAATTTTATTTCTATAATTTGCTTGCGCGTAGGGGTCTTTAGCAGTGGGAGGAAACCGGAGGACCCGGAGACAACCCACGAGGTTGGACAGGCGACCCTAGATAAATAAAGAAATCACCGATTGGTTTTTTATTGATTTAATGCAAAACATAAATAATGATCAAGATATAAATAAAATACAAAATAAATTACATACAAATAATTAAAACAATTGTGGGAAAACTTTTCAGTATACTGCATCATTAATATTATAGCAGAAAGATCTGGGCCCTTATTCACGAAAACTTAAACTAAGATAAAATCGAAATTTTAAGAAATACTGCAATTCGATTGGCTGACCAGTAAAATCAATTTGCATATATCCAATGAAGTTGCAGTATTTCTTAAAATTTCGGTTGTAACTTAGTTTAAGTTTTCGTGAATAAGGGCCCTGATATCATAACAAAGAACAAATTATTCCATAATTACAACAAACAATTTTAATTTACAATTAGATTATATAACAAATCAATCTGCTTAAAATACAGATCTATATTTCGTTTCGTTTTTTATAATTTCGATGGCCTACACTACATGAAGATCTGACCAGTTGTGTTGGTAGGTCATACGAGCAGCTTTGGACCCTATGACGTAAGACATTAAAATTTGATCGGCGTTGATGTTTCTTGTGGGTTACTCACAGTTCCGTGCACCTCACGCCAAAAACTCGCTGTAACAGACCGTTTCATTGGCTAATCCCTCACATCATCCAGAACGCATGTTGTATAACAACGCTTACAGATCCTAGTGTAGTAAAGACAAGTAAAACAAAAAACGAAATAGGACCTGTGTTTTAATCAGATTGATAACCAATTTAAAGTAGCTAAGTCTCTAACGAATCGTGTACCATAATGCATTTCAGCACCATTTGGAACAAGGGACTCAAAGAACGCGGCTAGACATATTCCACAAGTCATGTCATATGGTAACACCATATTCTTATCTGGAGAGCATGTACAATAAATATCATCGGTGTAGTCTGGAATAACCAGACGCTAAGTATTGCTATTAATTTAGAATTCTGGCGTATTTCGCCGAACATAACTGATTAGAAATTACAGTAAAAACAGAAACGGTTGAATGTAAATCAGTTTATATACATTCATATTACATTATTATATGCGTTGCGACCCATTTGTGTCCATTTCTAGGTCCCAAATATTAGCGATTTAGCTCCTTTAAACAATTAGTTCTCAGCGTACTAAGTAAATAAACAGTCCATGACGTCATCGCGACCTAGCCCGTATTAAAAACCAAGATAAATGACCAAGCTTGGTGCCTTATGATTATGTGCAAGATTAACAGTTCATCTTCAGCGGGCTAAATGTCAAGACCGATAGCAGATTTCGCCATAAGTCACGAGATGTAATGAAATCAAATGAAATGGGGTTTAACGTCCTACTGTTCTGCTCCTATACTGGGCTAATGAAGACGGGCATACACCATACAGTGTGCTATGAGGGAAATTTTGCCCGGGCGGCGCCACTATCGCCTACTCTTATATCGAATTCCAACTGCCAAGGGATCTTTACGTGCATTCCAATGTATACACGGGACCTCGGTTTTTCGTCTCAACCGAAGGACTAGACAGCTGTCCTTGTCAGGCCCTCCGGAGATGTAAATAGGGTTAGGACACGTGATTGTTGACGAGCTTGTGTGTTAGGGTTATGGTTATGGGTATCCCTAATTACATCTCGTGAGTGACCTATGATGAAATGTGCTATCGGTCTTGGCTTTTAGACCTTACCCATCAGATCGTTCAATAGATACACATCTCTCTAGGGGGGTACTCGATTGAACGTTCCGGAATTGAATTCCCTCAATCCCAAAAATAGTGACAATCGAGTGAAAAGGGGTAATTCGGGCTATAACGCATGCGTCGACTGAATAAGTAAATATCTCAGCCAACCATGCAGCCCTAACACATTCGTTGTGTTTAATTACGTCACGATTCTACTCACACCACCTCCGTGGTCGGGACTGACAGAACTGTGACAGAACTCAAATCCGCGTTACCCGATTGCAATTATGTCAATTCTGGCCGTTCTGGACTGTGAATCGAGCATCCCCTAGTAGAAATGACCGTTTAAACTTTAGTGTACCCATCTGTCTGCTGACTCGCTGTAACGGGTCCTAGTTATTATATATATAGTTAACGAACTTAACAGTTGACGGACGGTGGACGGACTGTATAATGAGGCCCATCAGTGACTTTGACTTGTGTAAATGGTCAACAATGAATATCGAATGTCGACAAATTGCCAACTTCTCATATATTTGTAAACAATAATCCGAAATGAAGCCTATTTGGACCTTCACATTATTAATCCCTAAAATGAAGTTCGGAGGCCTTAAAATCATTGACCTGATACAATATTCACTGTGCCGATGTTTTTACGCTGAGTCTTGTGTTTGGTCTCAATGTTTCTTGTATAAACTGATCATATGATATCTTTCCCGACATTCCCTTGTCGAATTCAGACATCACGTGATAAACCTCGTCTTCATCTAACATAACATTAGCAAGTTTTAAAACCGACCGGAACTCAGGAAGAGACAAATAACCATCTCCTTTCAAATCTAACTTCCGGAAGGCACGACGTAATGTCTTCCAATCGCCAGACATCTGTAAATATATCAAAACAAATTATAATTCATTAATGAAAATTAAACATACATTATGACGTCACATTAATAATGACGTCATTGTAATAATCATATTAAACATACATTATGCAAGAGCTAAATCTGCCTATTGCAGGTCTTTCTTTAGGTCTTCAATGTTATCTAAATCATTAATTAGACATTAACTAATTTATTCAGGCCATAATCAACTCTCGATGGCATCGGATTTCTCTGATATTAAATAGATTAGAACTGTTCAGCCATATTTTGATTTAAGCTAAAAATGGAGGAGCGAGACTTAGCTTCGAACAACCAGTATGGTGGTTGCAATTATTGCACACGTCTTGTCAAACCTTCAAAGGCTAATATCTTCGCTCGCAATAAAGTAATTTGAATAAAATTTTCAGTACTATTCATTTTACATTATCTATTTTCGAGCTATTATAGCAAGAATGGCTAGTTCTTGTTCTAAATCTTACATAATGTATCTTTAAGTTGTAATTGATGGTGACTACAGGTGAGCATGACACCGATTCATTAACCAGGAATGTGAAGATCAATTGTAATAGCTTGTTGACGAAGGGAGATTGGGTGGCCGAATGGTTAGCGCGTATCATAAGGTCTTTCATTGAGTCAACTGGCATGGTTTCGATTCCACGGCTGTACGTGACAAGGAGTAGGGTCGCCTGTACAACATCCTCGGTTTTCTCCTACTATGTTAAAGACCCCTACGTGCAAGCCAATTATTGAAATGAGATTGAACCATACGTTAATTTCAAAATGACCTAGTTTGTGTCGAGTGGATGTTAAACCCCATTTGGCTATCTCTCTTTTTGACTAAAGGGAGCCGCCATGGCTCGTGAGCGAGACGCTGAATCACTGACTAGGAAGTCCCAGGTTCCATCCCGGCGTTGGTTCAGCAAGTCCAGCGGGATGTGCCATCCTGGTTATATATATACGATTGGTAGCACGTTAGAGACTCCCTGGCAGTTAGAATTCGAAGAAGAAAAGCGCCGATGTCAGATCAAGATTTCCCTGGGGTATGCCCTGTTGGTACACCCCCCCCCCCATTTCATTTCATTTAAAAACAATACACCAAAATAGAATATCGCCGTATCTTCCATTCCAAAGGGGTTATAACAATATTGCCATTCTGGATATTTCATTGGTTGCACTCAGGAACCGGAAGTACCACAAGAGATTGGATTTTTATTTCTGCTTCGTCATACGCCACTAGTCACACCTATAAGAGTTCAAACATTTCAACTTTAGATCACGTGATATATTGTAAAACCATGGTTACGGTGTTTACCTTCTGTCTTAGTTTATCTGTGATACCATATAATACTTGCTGGCCTTCATTTGTATCGCCATCATCTATTGGTTGATTTAATATGCCTATCATATCGTTACCATGACGCCATGTTTGTTGTTTCCATGCATACGGTTTTAAAAAGTCTATGTAAGAAACCCTGAAATACGAACAATCAGTATGGGAAAAGTGCTACAAAGTAAAACAAAAAGAGTGAGAGAGAGAAAGTAGGGGTCTTTAGCGGTGGGAGGAAACCGGAGGACCCGGAGAAAACCCACGAGGTTGGACTGGCGACCCTACTCCTTGACTCAATGACAGACCTTATGATCAAACGCACACGCGTTAACCATTTGGCCACCCAACCCTCCACAAAGTAAAACAGAACGTAACCCAAGAAAAGACAATTTTATTTAATGGCATACTAGTTATTAGCTAGACACTAACCTTATGCATTGGCATGGCATTGACAGTAAGTGTGGACATATAATGCAGCTGTCACAGACTCTGTCCGACACATATTATCACACAACGTGCAGATTATGATATTTCGATGGCCTCTACTACATGAAGATCTGACCGGTTGTCATACGAGCGGATTTTGACCCTGATTAACCAATCAGCGTTGATGTTTCTAGGTGTTACCCACAGTTCAGTGCACCTCACGCCAAAACTAAGTAGGAAATGAAATGAAATGAAATGGGGTTTAACGTCCTACTGTTTTGCTTCGAACTGGGCTAATGAAGACGGGCATACGCCATACAGTGTGCTATGAGGGTAATTTTGCCCGGACAGCGGCACTACGGCCTACTCTTATATCGAATTCCAACTGTCAAGGGATCTTTTACGTGCACGCCAATGTGTGCACGGGACCTCGGATTTTCGTCTCATCCGAATGACTAGACAGCTGTCCTTGTCAGGCCCTCCGTCCTGCATCACTGACAAGGGGGAACCACCAAAACTAAGTAGGACCTGTATTTGAATCAGATTGAGGCTTGATTGATAGTAAATATTTTAAAGGGAAAACTAGAAGTAGTATATGAAACCTACGTCATAAAAATACCAGGCCCCGAGTTCACGAAACATTCTCAGAATTTACTCAAAATTGTTCGTCTTATTTTAACTAAAATATAGCCCTTTATAAAACTTCTGTTGTTTTAATGTATCAAATACATCAATAAGAAACTATGTGCAAAGTTTTGTGTTTCTGAATCAAGGATATTTCTCATAAAGTGTGATTGAAAGTTGGGTAAATTCGTAACTTAAGTATGGCAATGCTTTGTGAACTCGATAACAGTATTGATACATGTAGGCTATATTGGAACGCCAAAAACAGCTCAGTTTACTACATTGGGATTTAATACATTAATGAAATGGAAGCTTATAGTTTAGTCTTATGCATGCTTGATTTTGTTAAAAGGGCAAAATGTAAGAAAGGCCCCAGGCCTAATTTTCTACACTTTTGAAATAAAGTAATTATTATTGTTATCATTATTATTATAGTTCACGTTGTTGTGAATAAAATGCACTGTAATCTTACCTTCCGTCGTGTCTAACGTTGAATTTATCGACTATTCTGTTTAATTCAGGATCAGACAGCTGTACACAGAGTTCAGCTAAAACATCTCTAAATTCTTCTACAGATATATAACCTGTATTGTATACATCCATAGATTGAAACTCTTTACTTAATTCTTCAAATAAATACTCGATCTGAAATAACATAATATTATATCAAATAAATACTCGATCTAAAATAACATAATATAATATCAAATAAATACTCGATCTGAAAAAAAGATAATATCACACCAAATAAATACTCGATCTGACATAATATAATATCACACCAAATAAATACTTGATCTGAAATAACATAATATAATATAACATTAAATAAATACTCGATCTGAAATAACATAATATGATATCAGACCAAATAAATTCTCTATCCGAAAAAAAAACCCAAACAAAAAACAAAACGTGTGAGTTAATCACCAAACAACCCCAATAATTACCGTCACTTTTACTTATCCATAAGTTTGTCAATTTTTTTTATAAAATCATTTAAATTTTTGATAATTATGATGTATAGAATGTGCAATACTTTGGACGATATTGAGAAAAAACGATCTTATAAGTTCTTTTCGGTGATTCGTGCGACCCTTATTAAATCATCATCATTATCATCATCATCACCATTATTAGTATTATCATAATACGGCATCATCATCATCAGTATTAGTATTATTATTATCATAATACGGCATCATCGTCATCATCATCATCATCATCATCATCATCAGTATTAGTATTATTATTATCATAATACGGCATCATCATCATCATCATCAGTATTAGTATTATTATTGTTATATACATTAGCGTCATCATCATCATCATCATCATCATCAGTATTAGTATTATTATTATCATATACATTAACGTCATCATCATCATCAGTATTAGTATTATTATTGTTATATTATTATCATATACATTAGCGTCATCATCATCATCATCATCATCATCAGTATTAGTATTATTATTGTTATATTATTATCATATACATTAGCGTCATCATCAGTATCAATCTGATTAATATACAGATCTATATTTCCTTTCGTTTTTTTGATACTTTCGATGGCCTACACTACATGAAGATCTGACCGGTTGTAGCGATAGGTCGCGTCAGAGGTCATACGAGCGGATTTTGACCCTATGGCGTCAGACATTTGATAAACCAATCAGCATTGATGTTACTAGTGGATTACCCACAGTTCCGTGCAAAACACGTCTAAAGCTCGCCGTAACAGACCGTTTCATTGGCTAATCTCTCACATCATTCAGAACACGTCAATGATAACAACTCTTCCAGATCCTAGTGTAGTAAAGACAAGTAAAACGAAATTTTGAACTATAAAAACGAAACGAAATAGGATCTGTGTTTTAATCCGATTGAAGATTTCTATGATAATATTGTTATCAATCTATACTAACATTTGTGACTGTCGTTTGTCTGTCTGTTTGTCTGTCTGTTCGGGATTGGCGGCTACACTAGGTCTGCCCCGAGTCTGAAATTTGGGGTATAGGGGTAGCTAGGACCGGGGAGTAACATAGGCCAGGTGGCGTTAGTCTACCGCTTCCGGTTTCGGGGTTATGCCTCCCGAGCGAAGCCGGGCATGCTTCTAGTAACTCAATAAGATAAGTCTGTAAAAATAATTTGAAATTCATCAATCTTAGAATTCATGATATTTATGGATAATCTAAACTTACTTTAGCTCTGACGTGATCTTCCAGTAGATCTCTGGTTGAGTTGAGTTTACGGGATCGAATCATACAATCGGAATCACCGTGTCTCGGTGGTCGAATCTTGGCGTTAGGGTAAGCAGCAGATCGCATGCTGTATCCAAAATGGCGGACAAATTGAAGAAATTCAAGAGTCATGTCAGAATTGGTGATAAATGTCTTCCACAAATCTCGTATTTCACCGCGGGATACTTCCGGCGAGATGTCAAACCTGTAATTTTTAGAAACATTGTTTACTAAATAAAAGTTGTGCACCAGAAGTCGGACAAAAGAACATATCTCAAAGCGGACTCGCTACATCTGATGATGTCCCAAATAGAAAGTGTTACTAGATGTTCCACAGACAATGTTTCTACTATAAATGGACTGTCCACTCGACACATATTGTTCAATTTTATTTCAATAATTTGCTTGGGCGTAGGGATTTTTAGCAGTGGGAGGAAACCGGAGGACCCGGAGGACACGGAGAAAACCCACAAGGTTGGGCAAGCGATCCTACTCTTTGTCACGTACAACTGCTGAATCGAAACCACGCCAGTTGACTCAATAATGCACCTTATGATACAATACAACAAGCATGCGCTAACCGTTCGACCATTTATTCCCCCCCCCCCAAAGGTTCAAAGGTGAAATGCTTTAGACCCCTAGACAATATAGACATTTATAATTTACCTTTTAAGAAGATAGTACATCGTTTCTTGTGTAATACGTCTCGTGTTCGTTTCATCTATATTATAAAATTCACGTTCAACATCTTGATATCGTCTGTTTAATAAATCTTTAATTAATTTAAATAATTCTTGGGTTTTACGTCGTCTTGGTGCAACTTCCTCAAACTCTGCTTCCCCGGGTAACGCTGGACTTCCGGTTCTAACGGGCACTGGTATATCCGGTCTCTTCTTACCGTTAAATAAACTTTGAGCTTTACCTCTAGAGTAAAATAATATTGAATTTACAGTAACTTAGAATATCAATCTGATTTAAACACAGATCCTATTTCGTTTCGTTTTTTAAAGTTCAAAATTTTGTTTTACTTGTCTTTACTACACTAGGATCTGGAAGAGTTGTTACATTACCGGCATTCTGGTTGAAGTGAGAGATTAGCCAATGCAACGGTCTGTTACGGGGGAGTTCTTGGCGTACTCTGCGCGGAACTGTGGGTAATCCCCTAGAAACGTCAACGCTGATTGATTAATCAATGTCTGACGTCATAGGGTCAAAATCTGCTCGTATGATCTCTGACGACACCTCCCAAAACAACTGGTCAGATCTTCATATAGTGTAGGACATCGAAAGTATAAAAAACGAAACGAAATATAGATCTGTGTTTTAATCAGATTATTAGAATGTAAATATATTTTCTACAATGGGATGACCATATATGGTTTAATGTCCAATCTGATTAAAATACATTCGTCCTAATATGGTCTTACTTACTTGGTATCAAACTGTTTCATAAATTCACCATAAATGACGTCACCATCTTCATCTAAAGGGAGATGATCCACAAACGATTCAAACTGGTCGTCACGTAGCTCGAGATTAAATCTGCTCTCTACAGCTGCTCGAAACGCTTCTAAACTAATTCTATCCATTCCTAATTTATCGATATTCCTAAAAAAAAAAATATACCAAATGCAATTCCTATTTTATATATATTTCTAAAAAAAACATATAAACCAAATATAATAAATAATTTATCGATATTACTACAAAAAAATATAAACCAAATATAATTTATAGATATGTATAAAATATAAACCAAATTTAATTTATAGATATTTATAAAATATAAACCAAATTTAATTTATAGATATTTATAAAATATAAACCAAATTTAATTTATAGATATTTATAAAATATAATTGATCATTGCTTATTTGAAAATAGTCTACGATCGATGTTAAACCACATTTCTCCCTCTGCCATCCCCCCCTCTATAATTAACTTACTTGAAGGTTGCGAGTAAAGCAAGGAAATCTCTCTGGAACATGTTCATGAGTTGACCTTCTATAGCGCTTAAAGTTGAATTACCAGCAGGACTGTCTGATCGATTATATCTACAATAACAATATGTTAAACATTATATAACGGTGCAGCCGCGGTGGCTCAGTGTGTAAGGCGGTAGCTCAGTGTCCTGGAGGTGTTGCTGGACTGAGGCACAGCTTCTAGTTCTTCGGGTGGTATGAAAACCCGAGGTCAGAATGGGACAGATAAACAAAATGTTAACCCCCAATTCATTTCATTTGATTAAAGGTATTCATTATAAATTGGCGGTAGCGCCGCTGTTCGGATGGGACGAAAACCCGAGGTCCCGTGTAAGTAAAAGATCCCTTGGCAGTTGGAATTCGACATAAGAGTAAGCCGTAGCGCCGCTGCCCGGGCAAAATTTCCCTCATAGCTCACTGTATGACATATGCTCGTCTTCATTAGCCCAGTCGGAGCAGAACAGCAGGACGTTAAATCCCATTTCATTTAACCCAGTCGCTGCAGGAAAGTAGGATGTTATTTATTGATATGAGGAATATAAACGTATAAATTACCTGTGTTTAGTTTGTGTAAGTATATTATGCACCATACCATCTTCTGATCTATCTTGAAATCTATGTAAAAAATCTCGATAGGGAATTCCCCGTCCCTGAGTTCGTACACTACATCGTGATAAAAACGCTCCTAATAAAGATTTATCTAACTTGAGTCCATACTGTTCTAACACAATTAGAAAATCATCGAATGATACCTACAAAATATAAAAACATTTATACTGATTTAAAACTTGTTTAGAGATACATTATGTAAGATTTAGATAAAGAGCTAGCCATTCCTGCAATAATAGCTCAAAAATAGATAATGCAAAATGAAAATATTTAAAATTTCATTCAAATTACTTTATTCTGAGCCAAGTTATCACTGTTTGTAGTTTTGGCAAGATGTGTGCATTGTGATAACCAGGGCATTGGTATATTCGAGACTTAGCCTCGTTTTCACATTTTTAAATTAAATTTTTAAATGGCGAATCGTTCTAATCTAGTTCAAATCTCGAGTATCCATGCCATCAAGAGTTGATTATGGTCTTGTTTTGTTAATAAATGTCTAATTAATAATTTAGATAACATTTCAGACCTAAAGAAAGACCTGCAATAGGCAGATTTAGCTCTCGTATAATGTATGTTTAATATGATTAATACAATGACGTCATTATTAATGTGACGTCATAATGTATGTTTAAATATGTCTACATATCTGTCGGTCAAGTTTGCAATAATTTTAACGATATCGATAATAGAAACGCTCTTGTCGGTTCTTGCAAGTTTTAAAATAATTTATCAAATCTTCATACATTTTCAACATATCAAAAATTATATTTTTTCCACCTCCAATCTAGAAAGTGAAATTTAATGCCATACATTTCCAACATATCGACACAAACTAGGTCATTTCGGGACTAACATATGGTTTTTAATTTAATTTCAATAATTCGCTTCCGCGTAGGGGTCTTTAGCAGTGGGAGGGAACCGGAGGATCCGGAGAAAACCCACGAGGTTGGACAGGCGACCCTACCCCTTGTCACGTACAACCGGGGATTCGAAACCACGTCACTTGACTTCAATGACAGGCCTTATGACACAGCACGCGCGTGATAACCATTGGGCCATCCAACCCCCCTCCAAAATATCAAAAATTATATTTTTTCCAACTCCAATCTAGAAAGAGAAATAGAAACCTAATGCTACTCCATCAAAAGTTTTAATATCTTTATTACTTACCACTCCATTATTTTCTGTATCTTTCTTTTCAAACGCCTCCTTCATGTCGAAAAAACCTTCTCTAAATTTATCTTTAAGCCATCTTTCTATATCTAACTGCTGTTTTCGTTCCACTTCGCGTTTTTTGGGAGTTCTCTGTCCACCTTTTTCCGATCCACTGCTATCTGTTAAATATAAATGGAATGAAATGAAATGGAGTTTAACGTCCTACTTGTCTGGATTGTCTGGAACAATGAAAACACCTTGCCACATCGTGTTGCATTTCAGACGCTTTTAACATGTGGATAAAAACTTTAAACCTTAGTAGCCACCTAAAGCTCAGCCCACACGGGTCGTAGGTTTTGTAGCTCGCAGACAAGCAGCAAGAAACCTGGTGAAAATTTTGTATGTGCAGGACCAAAAGGCTCTGCGGCCAGTCTGCGATCTTCTACGGTGCCGAACACATGGAAATAGAGACTATTGGCAAGCGGATTTCTCCCATCCGTATCCGTACCCTATACATGATACAGGGCGTCAATGTATTTTAAGAGTTTGGGCAGATTTTCGCGTCGCGTACGTATGTGTCGATGGGCTGAGCTTAGCTCTTTTACAGCATGGTGGCAATAGATTCATAAAAACGCTATGGCACAGCACAACATTTTAGCGCCTAAAAGTAGCAAAAAGGGCGGTAAAAAGACGACAATGTTATACGGACCTTTTCCCTATGAAAGCTGATGGATACGCCCTGCCGTATCCGTGTGCCGTTTCACGTATGAGAAATACACACACATTGATGACGTCATTCACAAAATCCATACGGATACGCGATACGGACCAGGAATTTGCGCTTGCCAAAAATCTCTAATGACGCGTAAATCTCACGCAATGGTTTACTAAAATTTTCCCCGTAGACTGCCCGTAGTAACACGTACGGCGGGTTGTAAGCTAGGCATAACACAACAGTAAATAAAACTACAAATTGTTACCATTTTCTCCAACAGGTGAAAGTCTACCGTGTCCACCATCTTCTGTAATATATCTCGTTGGTACACCCAAATATTTTAAAAACTTGTCACCCTTTATAACTCCCTCGTTATCACGATCATATCTACAGAAATATAATATTACATATAAAACATGGCGGATTATTATATAGGTAATTGGGGCCATGGCGGATTGTTATATAGGTCAGGGGATCACAGTGGCTAAGTGGGTAAGACCCTGGCTCGCTAGCCTGGAGGTCAGGTGTTCGATTCCTGCATTGGCCGAGAGAGTTCATCGGAATTTTCCGGCGTGGTTTCCCCTTGTCAGTGATGCAAGACGGAGGGCCTGGCAAGAACAACTGTCTAGTCGTTCGGATGGGACGAAAAACAGAGGTCCCGTGTACACATTGGCGTTAAAGATCCCTTGACAGTTGGAATTCGATATAAGAGTAGGCCGTAGTGCCACTGTCCGGGCACAATTTCCCTCATAGCACACAGTATGGCGTTTGCCCGTCTTCATTAGCCAAGTTCGGAGCAGAACAGTAGGACGTTAAACCCCATTTCATTTCATTTATATAGGTCATTGATGCCATGGCGGATTATTCTGAAGGCCATTGCGGCCATGCACTAGGCTAGAATCTTCTTAGTCATTGTCTTGCCTCTGCCCACACTGAACACACTTCCCTTTTCAGTACCACAGGGGCCACGCTTCATAATTTTGCTTGAAAAACATTTTATTTTTTTTTCAAAGAAAATATGACCATGTATTTTGTAAGGAGTAAGCATATCCTGCCTCATGTATAGCACACATTATGTGTTTAACATTGAAAGCAGGTACTCTGATAACTGAGAGCAGCACGCGGTTTTTTTTTTTATTGTAAAACAAAAGTAGGACTTACTTATTCCACAGTTTATCAAACTCCTCGTCGTTCAGATTAAACGTCATTTTATTTAACTGCTGTCTAAACTCAGGTTTTAAAATTCGTCCTGATCCCCCGGAATTTATCTGGGGTATCATATCCCCCAGTTCGGTAAACCTGGCAAGATAAAAACATGGTTTATTCGGGGTATATTATTATCATATCAGAGTACTTATTCGTGGATATCATATCACCACAGGGTATCTATTCGTGGCATATCAAAGTATTTGTTCGTGGATATCATATCAGAGTATTTATTCGTGGTTATCATATCAGAGTATTTTTTCATGGCATATCATATCAGAGTATTTATTCGTGGCATATCATATCAGAGTATTTATTCGTGGCATATCAGATATTTGTCCCTGGCATATCATAGTATTTATCCGTAGCATATCAGAGTATTTATTCGTGGGTATCATATCCGAGTATTTCTTTCAGAGTATTTATTCGTGGGTATCATATCAGAGTATTTCTTTCAGAGTATTTTTTCGTGGGTATCATGTCTAAAGCATGGTATATATTCATGAATATCATAACTAAAGCATAAGAGTATTTTCTTCTTACTCATTTGCGTTTTTGGCTCGTTTTATTGTTTTCTTTGGTGTGGGCGGGGGAGAGTGTGTGGGGGTGCGGGGAGGGTTGGGGTTACATTTTATATTCTTACCTCTGCCTAGCCCTTTCCTTAAGTTGAGTATGGACCTGTGAGGCCGTCATATTGACCCGGTCGTTCCGATTGATTGGATCCATCCACTTTGGGTAATTTCTATCCTCGTCGTCCCGGAAGACGGAGAAGAACTCGGTGAAGCTGATGATAGCTTTATCTTTCAGACCCAGTCGCTCTAACAATCTGGTGTTCTGAGATTGTCCTAATGGACGATTCAAAAGAGTATGAAGAATCCTTGAAAAAGCCTCCCTGTTGAATAATAAGCAATTTGATAAATATATATTAAAGCACGGCGGGTTGAGTATCATCGTATTTTTTTTAGACGGGAACAACGGGAATAATAGATTTGTCTCCCTTGAAATGATTTCTAATCTGAGTTCATAATAGAAGCCTGGATACAAAATGATATTTCTAGTTAAATAACCAGTACTATCACCTGTCCGGAGTCAGTAAAATATACAGCTTGGTCACGATCTCAATGCAACAATAACAGCACAATTTACTCGAGTAATGGATTGGTCGTAGGTAACATCTCGGTATTGGCCGAGAAAATATCTCTGGTATGAAAAAGCAGTGTTCACGTGATAGTTGGAATTCGAAGGACGTTAAAGTAGGACGTTAAACCCCATTTCATTTCAATGAACTAGGTGATGGATCGCCAAAATGAAAATATTGGACAGGGAGAAATATATTATTATATTCTTAAAACTGAAGGTATATATAGCTGAAGTAGAAGATGGCCGCGGGATAGAAATGGCTCTACTACTGATGTCTTCCGCCGTACTCCAGCCACAGTAGTGGCTCGTCCTACGGAGTTCCTTTGCACAAGTTTTTTAGTCAAATGACTACAAAAAGGTTACTGGCCTATAGCTCCCTTAATTTACACATAAACTGACCCAAAACAGTACTGCGTCTACCTTAACATATAATAAATCAATTCCAATTGAAATAAAGGTGAAGCCTTACCGCATAATTATATGATTTGATGAAACCCAACTGCTACGCGAAATTTCAACTGGCTGGTGTCATGGCGACTTGCGTAATACGTAATTACAAGAAACATCGCTATGCAAATGTAGAAAGCACAACCACAAAGAAAAACTGTTCGGTAACTATTTTAGTGGTCTAGTCTTCACTATTTGTCATAGAATTACTTATTCCAATACAAACTGTAATGATATGTGTTGACATGTTTGAACCTATTTGAACTTGCGTAAGGAGTCTTAGACTGTATCAATTGTAGCGGTTAAACACACAGTTTAACGTTACAAGTATAGTAACTAGGCCGCGGGATAGACCAGGATGTGCGTGCTATCTCAGTACCATTGAACTTACCTCGAGACATTGCCTTTACCTTCCGGGTCATTATCTTTAAATCGTTTCTTCACCTCGCGGTAATTATTCCTTACTTTATCCTTTAATAATGTTTCCAACTGCAATACACAAAAAAAATCATATTTAAGACGGCGCTAAAGTGTGTGACGTTCATATTCAATAAAGAAAGATAATCAAAATCATTTGACCAAATTTTCATGTATGGACAGACTCTAAATTCGTTCATATTTTGAGGGAGACACTGCGACGCTGGCCCAGAAAGGCGCCGACTCACCAACCAGTAGGCCTCGGGTTAGACTCAAATTTATTTCTTTTTATAAACCTGAAAAAACATTTGAAACTATCCGATTAAAACACAGGTCCTATTTTAATTCGTTTTTATACTTGTTTTACTTGTCTTTACTACACTAGGATCTGGAAGAGTTGTTATTATTGACGTTTTCTGAATGATTTGAGGGATTAGCCAATGAAACGGTCTGTTATGGCGAGCTTTTGGAATGTGGTGCACGGAACTGTGGGTAATCCACTAGAAACATCAATACCGATTGGTTAATCAAATATATGACGTCATAGGTCAAAAGCCGATCGTATGCCCTTGACGCGGCCTATCACTACAACCGGTCAGATCTTCATGTAGTATAGGCCATCGAAAGTATAAAAGAACGAAACGAAATATAAATCTATACTTTAATCCGATTGCATTTGAAATCAAAAATGAAATGAAATGAAATGGGGTTTAACGTCCTACTGTTCTGCTCCTAAACTGGGCTAATGAAGACGGGCATACGCCATACAGTGTGCTATGAGGGAAATTTGGCCCGGGCAGCGGCACTATCGCCTACTCTTATATCGAATTCCAACTGCCAAGGGATCTTTTACGTGCATTCCAATGTATACACGGGACCTCGGTTTTTCGTCTCATCCGCATTTGAAATCAAAACAAAGATATAAATTTGTAGACTGTGTAGTGTCTAATGTTATCTTTACCTCATCTATCTCTAGTCGTGCTTGTGTAGAAGATGCTGACATCCGGGTACCTGATCTACTGGGTGGTACCACTTCCTCTCTGTCTCCTAACCCCGCTCTACTTCCTGTACAAAATAACATCATAATAAGTCATTACGTATATAGGTCATCAACTGCATCTCAGCTAAAGATATATATTTTGGGCTAACCTCGATCGTCATTACTACCGTTGGTACGATAATAAATACAAAATGTATTGAAATCCACTAAATATCTTAGACTAACGATGACACCGAGAGTTAATTAAGCTCTTTTCATGTTAATAAATGTCTAATTAATAGTTTATATAACATTTAAGGCCTAAAGAAAGAACTACAATAGGCAGATTTATCTTTTACATAATGCATCTTTAAGGGGGTCCATAACCTGTCACGGTGTTCGCTGAGAAAGTCTGTCGGGATATTCCGGCGTTGTCCCTCATTGTCAGTGCTGCAGGACGATGGGACGGGGGGGGGGGGTGTAAGGGACGGCGTATAGTTAACCGGCTGGCACAAAAAAACGAGGCCCCGTGTAGGCTACACATTGACCAATCTGATTACAATACAGATCTATATTTCGTTTCGTTTTTTTATATTTTCGATGGCCTACACTACATGAAGATCTGGCAAGTTATAGCCATAGGTCACGTCAGGGGGTCAAAAGACCGATTTATGATCCTATGACGTCAGACATTTGATTAACCAATCAGCATTGATGTTACTAGTGGATTACCCACAGTTCCGTGCAAAACACGCCTAAAGCTCGCCGTAACAGGCCGTTTCATTGGCTTATCCCCGACACCATTCAGAACACCAGTTAAATAACAACTCTTCCAGATCCAAGTGTAGTAAAGACAAGTAAAACGAAATTTTGAACTATAAAAACGAAACGAAATGGGATCTGTGTTTTAACCAGATTACACATTGACGTGTACGTAAAAGAACTATTGACAGTTAGAATTCAAAATAGGAGTAGATCGTAGTGCCGCTGCCCGGTCAAATTACCCTCACAGCACGCGTTTCGTTAGCACGGGTGGAACAGGACGTTAAACCATTTCATTTCATTTCCTTGGTTAAAGGCGCAATTGTATCTATTGAGGTCCATCATCATATGACGATTGACGTTGTGTATAGCGAGAGAGAAAGAGAAATGGGGTTTAATGTCCACTCGACACAAACTAGGTCATTTTGGGACTAATTTACGATTCAATTTTATTTCAATAATTCGCTTGCTCGTGGGGGGTCTTTAGTAGTGGGACGAAAACGGGGGACCCGGAGAAAATCCACGAGATTGGACAGGCGACCCTACTCCTTGTCACGTACAACCTCGGAACGAAACCACACCGGTTGATTCAATGACAGCCCTCCCCCACCCTCCCTGGCCCCCTGTGGCTCTTTGTATACACATGCGCTGCGTCTTATAATATCATTTCAAAATGTTAGCCAATTTTCTTATATAAAAATATAAACTAGATTATATATGTCTCCTGCTTTAAGGGTTTATTTATATTAGGGATTAAATGGGGTTGTATTCAAGTATTTTAAGGATTAAATCCCTCGAATAATCTCAACTTATCATCTAATCTCGGTTGACCTTTGTAGAGGTCAAACTGGTGGGGATCTAATCATGCGAGTTGAAATCTGGGATTATAATATGTCAAGTATTCTAATTGATAAAACAAGTTGATGTGTGATAAGAAAAGGCGGAGTTTCTGGTCTCAAAATATATATAAAACATAAATTGTAATATTATGTTTGAATTCTAAAATCCCTTGGTTTTATTAAAAAGTCTCCTTGTCAGTGATGCAGAACCGAGGGCATGGTAAGGAACAAACGTGTAGTCGTTCGGGTGGGACGAAAACCGGAGGTCCCGTGTACACATTGGCGTGCACGTAAAAGATCTCTTGGCCATTGGAATTGGATATAACAGTAGGCCGTAGCGTGCTGTCCGGGCAAAATATCCCCCATAGCACATTGTATGACATGCCCGTCTCCATTTGCCCAGTCGGAACAGAACAGTTGGACGTTAAACCCCATTTCATTTCATTTTTTTTATTATTAAAGGGGATAAATCAATAGTTCGTATGGATTTAATGGTTCGAAAGGTCCAAATTTCATTTCAGCGATGCAAGCCAGAATTCACTAATATCCCCAATGTTATTTAAAACGGTAAGAGCTAAATGTACCTATTGCAGGTCTTTCTTTTGGCCTTAAATTTTATATAAACTATTAATTAGACATTTATTTAGTCACATGACAAGATCATAATTAACTCGAATGACCAGTACGTTGTTTTCGATCAATGTACACATCTTGTCAAAACTACAACCATAAATAACTTCGCTCAAAATAAAGTAATTTGAATGAAATTTTCAATATATTCATTTTGAATTATCTATTTTTGAAATATTATAGAGGGAACAGTCAGCTCTCCCTCAAAATTTTACGTAATGCCCCTTCAAAGATTATCTCGTCCTAATCTCAGTCCCCAAATTGTCAAATTTAAAATTCATGATTTCTAACCTAAATTTCGAATGAAAAAGATGTAGTTTGTGGGAGAAAAACGCAGTCACATAGTGGTTTACTGTGTTGTCGAGACGGTGTATATCTATGGTTTGTTCTGTCTGCGTGTAGTCGTACAGTTCTCCTGTATTGTTTAATAGCTAGTTGTTTGGGTGATCCCTATATTTACCGCCCCCCCCCCTCCCTCTCTCAACCCCCAAGATAAAAACATAGAGAGATTAATTCGATCATGATCAGTGTTAGTAAGAAATATTATATTCGGTGTTCTTGTCAGGTTAACAATAATTTGTAACGACTCGTTGCTTATTGTGTTTTTAGTAGTCGTTATATAAGTATAAATATATACTATAAGAACTCACCGTGACGAGATCATCAAGTCTAACGAATGCCTAGACAATACAATATAATAGTACGGTACTTGATAATCGGGTCTGTAAGCTAGGTAGATATGTAATATGAAACCCGACCAGGAGGTATGCCTGTAAATTAGGCCTATCTACTTGTTAAACTAAATCTGAGATATACTTGCTTGTCCATAACAAATATATGTTTAAATATTTATTTAATTTTTTTTTATAATATCCTCCCTTTTTTGTTCGTAAGAAATATTTTAGTTCTATACTTGCTTGTCCATAAAAAATATGTGCTTAAATATTTATTTAATTGTTTTTTTATAATATCCTCATTTTTTTGTTCGTAAAAAAATATTTTAGTATATTAATTTAGTAACATAATCTAGAGTTAAAAAAAGGTAACGAAAATATATCGAATTTATTTATTATTACTAGCAATATGAAAATGCACCAAAAGAAGTCCATAAAATGCCAATTTCGGTCGAATATTCGAATAGTGTTCGAGTAGTTACTTGGAGTATTCGAATACTGTACAATTTTAAAAATTACTTCGAATGTTCCAATACGATTTGAAAACAGACTTCGGATATTCGAATAGTACCCGAATAGTACATGTACTCTACATGTATTCACTAGCACTAAATGACTTCGAATACTCGAATAGTGTGTAAAACCCAGTGTGGAGTTTAACTGAGTAGAGTTGGAGTCATTAGAAGTTAACATGGGAGATTATGTTTGTATTATTTGTTTATATAATCTGAAGAGGTTTCTAATATACTTTCACTTAATATATAAATTATACTAACTACAGGTTACTTGGTGCTATATCATATTACATATCAACCACGGAGAGTAGGGGATTAACGTCCACTCAACAAAAAGTCATTTCGAGATTTCATAACAATAATTCGCATGCACGTAGGGCTATTTAACAGTGGGAGTAAAAATGGAGTTTAACGTCCACTCGACACAAACTAGGTCATTTCGGGACTAAAACAGTAGGAGGAAACCGGAGGGTCCAGAGGAAACCCACGAAGTTAGATAGGCGACCCTATTCCTTGTCACGTACAAGGTTTTGATCGAAACCACGCCACTTGACTCAATGATAGACCCTATTATCTAAAGCCCGGGATGAATAGAAAGACTGAATGTGTCTTACGCCCCTTGCGGGGTTGGATGGCTGAATGGTTAGCGTGTGCACGCTGTATCATAAAGTCTGTCATTGAGTCAACTGGCGTGGTTTCGAATCCCCGGTTGTACGTGGCAAGAAGTAGGGTCGCCTGTTCAACCTCGTGGGTTTTCTCCGGGTCCTCCGGTTTCCTCCCACTGCGAATTATTGAAATAAAATTAAACCATATGTTAGTCCCGAAATGACCTAGTTTGTGTCGAGTGGACGAGTAGGCGATAGTGCCGCTGCCTGGGCATGATTTCCCTCATAGCACACTGTATGGCGTATTCCCGTCTTCATTAGCCAGAACAGCAGGACGTTAAACCCCACATGTCATTTAAATTCCGTATGTGTAGAAGTATCGACCATCGCCTGGGAAAGATCTAACAAGTAATAATGGCTTGCAAAGACAGAGGCAATTAGGATTTATGGAACAGTTTTCCAATTTAAGATCGCTCTAATTCAAGAAATAATTATAGTTAATAAAATATTTAAAATAGTGACTGTTTCATGTACTAATGGTGATATTGTTTTGTCTTTGAAAACTAATCAAACGAACGGAAAACAATTTAATTATATCGTGTCATGGTTGGTATTGGTTGGTATATTGCAAATTAAAATGAAATGAAATGAAATGGGGTTTAACGTCCTACTTTTCCGCACCGACAAGTCTAATGATGACGGGCATACGCCATACAGTATATCATAATGTGTACTACGAGGGACATGTTCCCTGGACAACGACACTACGGCCTACCCCTATATCGAATTCCAACTGTCAAGGGTTCTTTTACGTGCACGCCAATGTGTACACGGGACTTCGACTTGTCTGGCCATCCCACTGTTCTGCACCACTGACAAGGGAAATCCACGCTTTGCAAATTAACGGGACAATGGCTTCCTTGATGCGTTGATTTAATTCAAGTCGCCGATGCCGAGCGAATAAAATGTGATTGTTATTGGTGGGATTATGAATTCTTTTTTCAAACTGCACGTTGTGGAAGTTGTATCTCGAAAAGGGAAAGTTGTTATAAATGGTGAAATTTTATTCAATATTTACAAAGATATCATGCATTATAAAGGCGGATTAACACCCACACAACATAAACTAGGTCATTTCGGGACTAACATATGGTTCAATTTTATTTCAATAATTCTCTAGCAGTGGGAGCAAACCGGGGTACCCGGAGAAAACCCATGAGGTTGGACAGGCGGCCCTACTCCTTGTCACATACAACCGGAGAATCGAAAGCACGCCAGTTGACTCAATGACAGACACCGTTATCAAGCAATGATGCAATCAAACATGTAACATATTGCAGTTATAATAAACCTAATGAATTGTATCCATAAAGATGTCTGCTATTATATATTGCTTTCATTAAATTCCTTTTAAAGATAACACGCAATACACACAGATATCGTTAGCAACAACTGTTATCTCCAGAAGCACTAAGATAATAACGGATGTGGGGATTATCAGTATAGACTTTATCACATTCAATGAAATGGGGTTTAACGTCCTACTTTTCTCCACCTACTGGGCTAACGAATACAGGCATACACCATGCAGTGTGCTATAAGGGAAATTTTGACAGGGCAGCGCCTCCTCTTATATCAATTTTCAACTGTCAACGGTTCTTTTACGTGCACACCAATGTGCAAACGTGATCTCAGTTTTTCGTCCCATCCGAACGACTAGACAGCTGTCCTTGTCATTAGTTAAAAAGTATGACCGATGTGGATGCAATGAATTAAACCTACTACGGAAAACCTCTAGATTGGTAAAGAAAAAACACAAACTATATAACATGTACTTACCGAATATGGGCATTCTCGGTTTATTCGGATCCCCATGTGATATTTCCACACCTTCCGGGATACTGTCAATCGGCGGTGCCGTGGCAAAATTATCCTTTCTAAAACTAAGACGACTTTCTCTCATGCCAGCGGCACTGAAACTCTTTCTGGCTTTGGGTTGCGGCTCACAGGCTAGAGGTCGACCACCTTGGGACGTCTGGGAAAAAGGTCGGCCCGCTTGGGACATCTGGGAAAATGGTCGGCCCGCTTGGGACATCTGAGAAAAAGGTCGGTCCTGGGATCGGGAAACTCCCGTGATCCCCATATTGCCCGGATTTTCCATCCTGGATAACGGATGTTGGATCTCCGGTAAACTCAAACGGGTCTGCATCACACTCATCTGCGACGCGGAACGCACAACACCGGCTTGCGACATGGTAGAATCTGTACAAACGTGTATTATCCAAAGTGATTTTTAAAACGTAATGTTGTGTTTTTAGAATTGCTAAATCTACTCTCAGTTAAATCAAAAGTTCGATTAGTTTCCAATCGATATAATTGTCTGTCAATACACTACAGCTCTCTATATTCACATACTTGTTAATTTACAATCTAGAAAATAAAAATAAAAACACATGTCAGTAACTGAAAGCAGGTTAAATACAACTAGGAGTAATCAATCAATTTAAATCGATCGATCGATCTTTATATAATAAACATTGTAAGATAACCATCTGGGTACCAAATAACACAAACCGATCGTTTTATATGTTTTTGTTTTGTGGAACAGGCAAAGCCTATATTAACACTTCTCCCGGTTACAAATAAATAATATACAATATATTGAAAAATAAAGAAGAAAAAAGGAATAGATAAAAAGGAAAATATATATATATGTATTTTCTATTGGATTTCGTACACTCCACCTCTACTAAAATAGCATCAATGGTATGCAGTGGGGTCGTACTAGAGGCAGAGTATGCCTTCCCGGTCGTAGAGGCAGGATATGCCTACTCTTTCTAGAACAGTTACAACGTTTTATAGTCTTTTAACCAAACTAGAAGTAAGGACGTGGTGTCGTACTAGAGGCAGGGTATGCTTACTATTTCTGGAACACATGATACCACTTCTAATTTGAGTAGTTCGCATAGTTAACACTGTTGTATGCCTGCTTATCAATCAGTTAACTACTAGAATAGTATCGAGATTGTCTTGGCGTGATAGATATACGTGATAAGACGCTGGGTCATTAGCCTGGAGGTCGGGTGTTCGATCCCGGCATTGGCCGAGAAAGTCCATCGGGATTTTCCGACGTAGTTTCCCCTTGTCAGTGGTGCCAGACGAAAAACGGAGTTTCCGAGTACACTTTGGCGTGCACGTAAAAGATCCATTGGCAATTGGATTCGATGTAAGAGTAGGTCATTGTGCCGGTGTCCGGGCAACATTTTCCTCATAGCACACTACATGGTGTATGCCCGTCTTCATTAGCCCAGTTCGGAGCAAAACAATAGGACGTTAAACTCCATTTCATTTCATTTCATTTCGATAAACGTGATCGATATACGTGTTCGATATACGTGATCGATATACGTGTTCGATATACATGATCGATATACGTGATCGATATACGTGATAGATATACGTGATCGATATACGTGATACGCGCACATTGTTTATTTCTATTATTTTATTTTTCATTTTGCTATCGTAATTTAATGTCAAATAATTACATCTGAGTACCTTTAATAATTACATCTGAGTACCTTTAATAATTACATCTGAGTACCTTTAATAATTACATCTGAGTACCTTTGGGCATGGATTTAGTTGTAAAAAAATAGATTGTAAATGACTTTAAATCCGTGTATTAAACCCCATATAAGTTATTACATGTTAAAATGTCATCCGGTTAAAGATACATTATGTTAGATTTAGATAAAGAGCTAGCCATTCGTGCTATAATAGTTCCAAAATAGATTATGTAAAATGAATAACGTGAATATTTCATTCCAATTACTCTATTGCGAGCGAAGATATTGGCCTTTGAAGGTTTGACAAGACATGTGCAATAATTTCAACCACCGTACTGGTTGTTCGAAGCTAACTCTCGCTCATCCATTTTTAGTTTAAATCAAAATATGGCTGAACTGTTCTAATCTATTTAATATCGGAGAAATCCGATGCCATCGAGAGTTGATTATGGTTTGGATAAGTTCATTAATGTCTAATTAATAACTTAGAAAACATTTCAGACCTAAAGACAGACCCTGCAATAGGTAAATTTAGCTCTTGAATAATGTATGGTTTATAAATATTGAATTATTAAAATAGATTTATTTATAATACAATAAGGAAACGGCCAGTTGGTAGTTGTTTTATTCATTACGGCTATAAATAGAAACATTATTTTGTAAATACGAATATCTAATTTATTACTCTACTCGATTTATAAGTCCACTCGATTTATAAGATTTATAAGTCCATCCGTTAACAAATATCCTTTTTTCCTATATTTATTAAGGAAAGGAAACTACGAAGTTTAGACACCCATTAACAAATATGTTGTTTTGGGTTTTTTCTATATTTACTTAAATGGGTTATTAAAGATAGATTAGTTAAATTTTGGATAAAGAGTTGACCATTCTTGATATAATAGTTCGAAAATAGATAATGCAAAATGAATATATTGAAAATTTCATTCAAATTACTTTATTCTGACCCAAGTTATCACTGTTTGTAGTTTTGACAAAATATGTGCATTGTGGTAACCAGAGCACTGTTATATTCGAGACTTAGCCTCGCTTTTCCATTTTTAAATTAAATTTTTAAATGGCGAACCGTTCTAATCTAGTTAAAATCTCGAGTATCTGATGCCATCGAGAGTTGATTATGGTCTTGTTTTGTTAATAAATGTCTAATTAATAATTTACATAACATTTCAGGCCCAAAGAAAGACCAGCAATAGACAGATTTAGCTCTTGTATAATGTATGTTTAAGGAAAGGTAACTGTGAAGTTTAGACATTTAAACACGGTGTATTGTAATAGATATTTGTCTAGTGATTTCAGGGGCTGATATAGTCGCGAGTTAGGGAGCTGTCATCTCGACTAAACATTCCGGGTTCGAATTCCGGCGTAAGTCGAGGATAACCTTCAGAGTGTAGTGAGCCATGTTTTCACAGGTCAGAAGGTATTAGCGCAAGAAACATCTCGAATGTTACGTTTTTTTGTCAGGGCGGTCTTGGAGATTCAAATTCCATAGTGAGATATCAATGCCGGCCCGTAACTTTTGTAGTGGATTGGGGGCTTGGAAGATTAATTTACCATCGACGTACTTACCGAAGTTTTTATTTTTATATTTTTTTTCCATGAATGTACGTGTTTAAATCATTCTGTTACATGTGTACTTTTGTACTAAAATAAAATTATTGACATTGAAAACTAATTTGACTTGGTAAGGTCGCCATACTCTCTGTACAGAGCCCGAAATATCTAAAGACCGTTGTATTCAAGTAAATCGCTTATAATCATTTGTGGAACTTAAAACTAATGCTTTTTTTTACTAACACCGCCATCTAATTTGACTTGGTAAGGTCGCCATACTCTCTGTACAGAGCCCGAAATATCTAAAGATATCCCTTATAATCATTTGTGGAACTTAAAACTAATGCTTTTTTTACTAACACCGCTATCTCACTTTCTAAAATGACTATTTATTTTACAATCCGTTCATAAGATATTTCAGTTTCCATTAAAACAGCGTCTAGCAATTTTATCTATATTCCACATTACAATAAATTAAAATTAATTACCGCGGTTTTAATTTTTCCTCGAAGATACCAGCATTTAAAGGCTTATTTTTCATTATAAAAGAACAAAATGTCATATTTTTAACTTACCTGCTTGAACAGCTAGGTATATTCCACATTATAATAAATTAAAATTAATTATCGCGGTTTTAATTTTTCCTCGAAAATACCAGCATTAAAAGGTTTATTTTTCATTTTAAAAGAACAAAATGTCATTTTTAACTTACCTGCTTGAACAACTATACGCCTATCCGTCTCTACACTAACACGATATTTAGAGATTTTTAATAATGGCGATGGTGTCTCGACAACTAGCGGTTGCTAATGACAACCAGGTAGATTAGACTAGGTATCAGGTGACGAGTTAAAGGAGGTTTAAAATACGGGTTGAGAGGCAACGAAGCGAGATAATCCCATTGTTAATATATATATATTTTGATACACCTGTAAGACAGGTAGAATAACATACCTGTTGATTATTGAAGTTGATTGAAGTATATTAATATGACGCGGTTGACTGATCACGTGACTCGAAACTACCCGGTCTGTTTCTACAAATTTATCCATCAACATGTTAATTGGATTATTTTGAGACTCAATTTGGATTAATCCTATTTAAACTAGTGCCACGTTGGAAATGCTAGGGAGGGGAATTTTGCCCGGACAGCGGCGTCTCCAATTACTCTTCTGTGATGAAGTTCAGTACAAATGCACTCGCTTCGCCGTTTCTACATCAGCGGTAGTCACGGTGGCTAAGTGAGTAAGACGCTGGCTCGCTAGCCTGGAGGTCACGTGTTTGATCCCTGCATTGGCCGAGAAAGTTCATTGGGATTTTCCAACGTGGTTTCCCCCTTGTCAGTGATGCAGGATGGAGGGCCTGACAAGGACAGCTGTCTAGTCGTTCGGATGGGACGAAAAACTGAGGTCCTGTGTATACATTGGCTTGCACGTAAAAGATCCCGCTGCCGGGCAAAATTTCCCTCATAGCAGACTGTATGGCGTATGCCCGTCTTCATTAGCCCAGTATAGGAGCAGAACAGTAGGACGTTAAACCCCATTTCCATTTCATTTCATGTCTCTATTAGCCTAGTCGGACGTTAAACCCCATATCCGTATCTCCAGCATTTCACGAAGCATTCTCAGACATAAGAATTTACTCAACTTTCAATCACTGTTTATGAGAAATATCTTTGTTAAAGAAACACAAAACTTTGCACATAGTTTCTTATTGATGTATTTGATACATTAAAACAACAAAAGTTTTATAAAGGGCTATATTATAATTAAAACTAGGCGAACAATTTTAAGTAAATTCGTAACTGATGTCTGAGAATGTTTTGTGAATTCGGGACTAGGACTTAAAGCTATGTTTATACGGTGTGATTTGCACATGTTGCCGTTTGGACGGGGTTTAAGTCTACAAGTACGTTCTCTTCATCACTTTCTCCTTTCCCAGAAGGCAGACACGACTAAGTGGGAAGGACGCTGGCTTGCCAGCCTGGATGCTACCACGATTTCCTGGCTAGATATGTAATTTGGAGAATATTTAAATATATGATGATTTTTTGGTTTGTTATTATGAATATTCAAAATCATGCGTGAGGTCTTTTCGGGGCCAACATGGTTAAATTTATTTCAATAATTTGCTTGCACATAGGGGTCTTTAGCAAATTGAGAACAGCAGAAAACCTACAAGGTTGGACAGACGACCCTACTTCCTGTCACATACAAGCAGGGAATCAAAACTGCAGCCCTTGACTAACTCAATGACAGACCTTATGATCTAAAACGCACACATCAGATGATTCGGTCACTCCCCCCACCCCCGCAAGAACTTTTATCATATCTAAATCCCATTCTTTGGAGATATATTCCTTTGAAAACTGTTGGAGAGCTTAATCACTCGGATGAAAAACCCCAGGGTTAGGGTGAGCCCCCCCCCCCCCAACTAAAGATTCGTGTGGATCATATATTAAAGTTTTGGCAAAGCTGGACATCTTGAGAAGTAATAAATATCAAGATTATATTTTAATGGCTTTAATGTGAACATATAATAAGTGTAAGCCAAGATGTACATTTTACACAAAATTAAACCCTAACTTGTTTATTATGTACACTGTACCGGTATACACAATATATAAAATACATACTACATATACACAATGTATATAGTATATATTATGTAACACATAAACACTAGTATACATACACAATGTATACATTCTATAACACATACATACTAGTATTATATACACAATGTATATAGTATATATTATATAACACATACATACTAGTATATATACACAATGTATATAGTATATATTATATAACACATATACATACTAGTACATGTATATATACACAATGTATACATTGTTTATATTACAAAACATACATAATTTAACATAGTAATACTATAGAATCTACAATGTATACTAGCATAATTCTATAACATATACAATGTATACAATATACTAGTATATATGACCTTGTATACAGTATATACACTTCTACATATTTATACTAGAATGTAGATGTTATATAAAACACATATATACTAGCAACAATGTATACATTATATAACTCATACTAGTATAATATATACATTATATAATACACACTAGTATATATAACATATTACAATGTATACATTATACAATATACATACAGTGTATACATTATATAATTCACACTAGTAAATATAACATATACAGTGTATACATTATATAATAGTGCGGGCAGAATGGAGACTTTTACTCATTTTACACACCTATTTTACATACACAGGGAATATTGTTTACCTAAATATATTTCAAACACCTTTATTTTTCTAATACTTAAAGAAAATGTTACAGATTTTCATTTGCAGAAGGAAAAAAATTTATATTGGAGGATCATTAAGCAGCACAGATTTCATCCCTATCAGTGACAGTAGAGGCCAAGCGAATATTCACTGCTAATCAGTGTGGTGGGTTTGTTTTGATGTGGCCAAGAGTTATGTTTTAAAACATGTTTTAAATTCTTTCTGAATAAACAGTACAGAAGCAACAGACAGATTGTACATCATGAACCAACAGCTGCCTAACCCTAACCCTTGAATAAACTGTACAGAAGCAACAAACAGAATGTACATGATGAATCAACAGCTGTCATACCCTAACCCTAACCCTTGAAAAAACGATACAGAAGTAACAGATAGGTTGTACATCATGTTGAACCCTAACCCTTGAATTAACGGTTGTACATGATGAATCAACAGCTGTCTATAGATCATCACCAACAACCAGCATGTGTTTATCATCCAGTAAGTTGTTACGAGTATCAGGTACATCAAGTTAGTGTTTCAGGATTCAGTTGGTGTTTCCAGGTCCATGACATCAGCTCGTTGTCCAGGTACATCAAGTTAGTGTTTCAGGATTCAGTTGGTGTTTCCAGGTCCATGTCATCAGCTCGTCGTTCAGGTACATCAAGTTAGTGTTTCAGGATTCAGTTGGTGTTTCCAGGTCCATGTCATCATCAGCACGTTTTTTATAAAATGGATTAGGTATGTCTTTTCTCACCTCAAATATCTAAACAAAAAAAAATATATAAATATTGAAAATGATGAACCTTTTCATTATGCAGGGCATGGTCACCCGGTTATCAAACACTATATAAAACTTTCTATGGGACCCACTTACTGGCTCCCATTCTATTATTACAATAGACTAAACTAAAAATGTGATGGTTACCATGTTCCATTCTATTATTAGAATAAATGAAATGAAATGGGGTTTAATGTCCTATTGTTCTGCTCCGAACTGGGCAAATGAAGACAGGCATGCGCCATACAGTGTGCTATGAGGGAAATTTTGCCCGGACAGCGGCACTATGGCCTACTCTTATATTGAATTCCAACTGTCGGGGGATCTTTTACGTGCACACCAATGTGTACACGGGAACTCGGTTTTTCGTCCCATCCGGATGACTAGACAGCAGTCTTTGTCAGCCCCTCCCGTCCTGCATCACTGACAAGGGGGAACCACATCAGAAAATGTGGATGAACTTTCTTGGCAAATGCAGGGTTCGAACACCCAACAAAGAGAAGGAGGAAACATCACTGTTTGGGAGAAATTAGGTTATGTAATATAATATACGATATCTGTATATCAGGTAATATACGATACCTGTATATGAGGTTATATAATATACCATACCTGTATATAACTTTCTGATAATGTTATCATCTGAGGTAATATATCAGCCACATGTAAATCTTGCATCTCGTACCATTTACCTGTACCCTGTTATAATAAACATATAATATATCACCCGGCAAGACAAATCATCAAAAAAATAGAAATTACATTAGGTTACTCTATGTACAGTGCCAGATTTAGATGAAAGAGTGACCTTGGGCTATTTAACTTATGACGGAAGTACTTCTATATCCCCCACTCTTACGACTAGAGGAAGATGAAAGCGCGGCCTTGGGCTATTTAACTTATAACGGAAGTACTTCTATAACCCCCACTCTTACGACTAGAGGAAGATGAAAGCATGTTTTAAATACAATTGAGAAAAGCCAAGGATGATGTCGGATGTTTAAATTTAATTAATTAAGGTAGGTGTTTACACCATACCAGGTTTGGTCACGTAATTACCTAATCAATCCTGTCTATTATCAACGATGATCGGGTTGAGTAGTAGTTATACACTCAGTACAGTCAATATATGTTGGAATTTGGAATATTATTCACCATATCTTGATGTCACATTGGGCATATTCCTGGTCGGACATTTGGAAAACAGCATAAGATAAGTCCAGAATATATACGGGTGAAGTAGCATCCCTGGTGTAAAACTACAGTGTGTGTGTGTAAAAAAGGCTTATATACTATTCAAAAAAAGTAGGGGATATTTGATTTTGGGGGCATAATACTAAAATATGCAAATGACTACGAAAAAAGTCACTATAGAACCTAACAGAAGAAACATTTCCAGTTACATGTGACGCCCAAACGCACCAATAGCTACCGCATGGAATGCAGGTGATGCTTGGGATCATCATTGGGGTCCAACCCAAGATTTGCACGACTCTGACTTTGAATGTTACAGTCATTGTGGCATTGAATTCCAGGGTGGAAACATCAGTTTAATTGTTTTAGTGACCAGAAAACAAATTTTGATATGCGTCGGCTTACCCAAAATGAAAGGTTACGTGCCCTTGGCATGCTACAGATCGGCACAACACAGGCGGTTGTGGCGCGGACGATGAATGTTTCTCAGTCTGTCATAAGCAGGCTATGGTCCAGATACCGTGATACACAATCTGTACAGGACAGACCACGCTCAGGTCGACCAAGGGCGACAACTCAAGCCCAGGATCGATTTATCCGTACCTTGGCCTTGAGAAATTGTGTCATCACAGCAAATCAGATCAGCGCTCGTCTTCAAACAGACACTGGTGTGAGAGTGAGTGGCCAGACGATTCGGAATCGACTGCATAGGGGTCACCTTCGCGCCCGACGTCCTCGCGTGATCCCTTGTTTGAGAGATCATCACATTCAGCCAAGACGTCGTTGGTGTAGGGATTGTCAACACTGGGATAATCGACGCTGGAGCAATGTGATGTTTTCAGATGAGTCAAGGTTCACTGTAGATTTTTTGGACAGACGTAGGAGGGTGTGGCGTCGTCGAAACGAGCGCTTCCAAGACGTTAACGTCATCAGACATGATCGATTTGGGGGTGGTTCTGTTATGGTGTGGGGAGGCATCACTGTTGCTGGAAGAACGGCTTTACATGTTGTTGCAGGGCGTGTTACAGGCCAGTACTACCGGGACAACATCTTGGCAGTCCATGGTGTGCCGTTCGCACGACGTCATGGCCGCCGTTTCATCTTCCAGGATGACAACGCAAGATGTCACAGGGCCAGGATCGTTACAGGTTACCTCCAACAACAGAACATCACCACATTACCTTGGCCAGCACTGAGTCCCGACCTCTCCCCCATCGAGCATGTCTGGGACATGCTTGGACAGAGGTAACGTCAACGTCAACAACGTCCTGCCAATGTCCAAGAACTTGCTGCTGCGTTGCAACAGGAATGGGACAATCTGGACCAAAATGACCTTAGACGTCTCATTAGGAGTATGCCACGTCGGATCAATGCTTGTTTGGCAAACAGAGGAGGATTTACCCGTTACTGACTTGGTTGTGATGCTGTGGTAACTTTGCTGTTTGACCCCCGGTATCATTTTACCCTTATAATGGTCAGTCTGTGCCTTACTTAGTCTAACGATCATTTGGAATAAATCGATGAATGTGAACTTCATTTCATTTTGTCATTTGTTTCTTCGTCAGTTTCATTAGGTGACTTTAATAACACTTAAAAATCAAATATCCCCTACTTTTTTTGAATAGTATATATGACAATCCCTGCACTAGCTGAGAAAGTTCATAAGGATTTTTTCGACGCGGTTTCCCCTTGTCAGTGATGCAGGACAGAGCAATTGACAGCTGTCTAGTCATTCTGGGGGACGAAAAACCGGGGTCCCATGTATACATTAGCGTGCACGTAAAAGATCCCTTGGCAGTTGGAATTCAATATAAGAATAGGCCAGCTGCTCAGGCAAAATTCCTCTCATAGCCCAGTCGGATAATCTGTACTTACTTTATGTTGTATATGACATCTGTACGTTCCTTTTCCCGGCCCGGGTTCCCCATCATGTACCACATTAGCCATTAAATCGTAAACAGTATTACGATGTGCTGCTCGTACTTCAGGTGATAATAAATCACCAAAATCTATATTCCTGTAAATGAATCAATATTATAGGTAAACAACGAGGTTTTAACATAAGGTTTCAGGTTAAAATACACCAAAATGTTGTCATGTTACTAAAGGTGATTAAATCGTGAGTGTGAGAGAGAGAGAGAGAGAGAGAGAGAGTTTAACCTCCACTTAACACAAACTAGGTCATTTCGGGACTAACATATGGTTCAATTTTATTTCAATAATTCGTAGAGGTCTTTAGCAATGGGAGGAAACTGGAGGACCCAGAGAAAATCCATGAGGTTGGACAGGCGACCCTACTCCTTGTCACATACAACCAGGGAATCGAAACCATGCCAGTTGGCTCAATTGACAGACCTTATGACACAGCGTGCACATGCTAACCATTCAGCCATCCAACCCCCCTGACACCTGCCCAAATATAAACAACTTACTTGATAGGAAAATTAACAATAGTTGGATTCTTCTCAAATACAAAATAATTCTTAGTAAATCTCTGAAAAATATCAACACATCAAGAATTAGGTTTTAAAACTGATGGAATTACTGTTCCCTGAACTGCCTCAAATATATATGTATTTATCTAGTTGTTTATTTATTTATTCATTCTAAGAAACAATGAATTCCTGACAATAAAAAAGAAATACGAAATTAAGAAATACAGAAAAAAAAATAAAACAAAAATTCAAAATGATTGAATTATAAGTCACAAGCGATGGAGCCATGAACTAAATGGAAGTAGCATAACTCTGTAAGCAGAACACTATAACGTGTTACCAAGATGGTGATACTTTAATAACTACTAGCGGTTGGCTGGTTGACCTGATGTAGCCTTGGTACCAAGACAGCAATACTTTAATAACTACTAGCGGTTGGCTGGTTAACCTGATGTAGCCTTGGTACCAAGATGGCGATACTTTAATGACTACTAGCGTTTGACCATAAAACGGAAGTAGCATAGCTCCGAAACCAGAAGCGGTAGACCATCGTCACAAGGCCTATGATACTCCCGAATCCGAGCTACCCCTATACACTATATTTCAATCTCGGAAGAGCCCTAGTGTAACCGCTAACCTGAACAGACAGACAGTATGAATAATCCGAGTCTTAAGGAAAACCAGCAAAAATAACGGTAAGTAAATAGCTCATAATTCAGCCTCTCTGAGGGAGCAGATGTTTTGGAAGGATCTGTAAAATCCAGGTGCTTTAACGCTTTTAAAATACGTTTCTGACCCCCAAAAAGCGAGTCTTACCTTAAAGTAGATGATGATAAACTGAGGTAGTCGAGTCAGTTCAAATTTCTTAAAGGTACTGTCCTTATGGGTCTTATACTCTTTCTCTGATGTTCCATTAAATTTGGAGAGAACAGTCGCAAAGGGCACCTGCGGGATAATGTTTTCACGTAGTTCATCGGGATAAAGAGGAGGGGCTGGTATGTCACATGTTAGATACAACCAGGGGATTTCCTCGATAGTTTCTGCAATGAATCAAAATTAGAATTAAGGTAAGATAAGGATCAATCGAGTTCAGCCTATGCCTGTTCCTCAATGCCTTTCGACTTCTGAATAAAATATTTGTTCAAAAAAAAAAAAAAGAAGTTGAGTTCAGAAGATTGTTGGACAAACTAACTACTGCATCATTAAATGATGTAGATGGAGAGAGTAGACTTGATTATCAAGACAGTGTAGTACAACAAACTTCAGTAGAATAAAACAGGGGCCTGTTTCATGAAATTTAAAGTAAGATAAAATCCAAATTTTAGTAATTTGATTGGATAATATTAGATTGATTTTAGTGCGTAGCCAATCAAAATTGAAGTATCTACTAAAATTTGGATTTTATCTTTAGTTAAGATTTCGAGAAACAGGGCCCTGGAGTTTAATGAATGACAGAAAGAGAACGAAACAGAGTTTGATGTACACTTTTTTTCAATAATTCATCCACAGGTAGGCGTCTTTAGCAGTTTGGGCAGGCAACCTTATTTCTGGTCACACACAAGCTTGTGATTGAAACCATGTCACTTGACTCAATGACAGACCTTATGATCTAAAGTGCATGCAGTAAACCACGTGACAACCCAACTCCTTTCGTCTCACAATAAAACAAGTGATAATAGTTTGTTTACCTTTATAATCAGGTGTCAGCATAAGCTGAGCTTTCTCCTGATCGGTTAGATCAACGGCTGGTTCTTTTCTAGAACAAACTTTCATCTTTCCACGAAATGTTTTATTGATTATGGAGCTGTTCAGTTTCTTTGTTCCGTTCATAGCCGTGTGTAGAGAGTTTAAAAACCATGACAGCATATCTATAGGGTCACCTGTAAAACAATAAAAACCATGACAACATTATCTATAGAATCACCTGGAAAATAACAAGAACCATGACAACATATCAATAGGGTCACCTGTAAAACAATAAAAACCATGACAACATATCTATAGGATCATCATAATCTAAAGAAATGGGGTTTAATGTCCTACTGTTCTGCTCCTATACTGGGCTAATGAAGATGGACATACACACATACATGCACGCCATACATTGTGCTATCAGGGAAATTTGGCCCGGGCAGTGGCACTATGGCCTACTCTTATATCGAATTCCGGAGGGTTGGATGGTCGAATGGTTAGCACTGCGCGCTGTATTGTAAGATCTGTCATTGAGTCAACTGGCGGGGTTTCGATTCCGCGGTTGTACATGACAAGGAGAAGGGTCACCTGTTCGACCTCATGGGTTTTCTCCGGGTGCTATCAGGGAAATTTAGCCCGGTTGGATGGTCGAATGGTTAGCGTGTGTGCGCTGTATTGTAAGATCTGTCATTGAGTCAACTGGCGGGGTTTCGATTCCGCGGTTGTACATGACAAGGAGAAGGGTCGCCTGTCCGACCTCATGGGTTTTCTCCGGGTCCTCCGGTTTCCTCCCACTGCTAAAGACACATACGCGAAAGCTAATTATTGAAATAAAACTGAACCATATGTTAGTTCCGAAATGACCTGGTTTGTGCGGTTGGACGTTAAACCCTATTTCTCTCTCTCTCTCCCTCCGTATGAGCCTTTCAAAGTTCAAAGAAAGAAGAGTTATTTACCTTGTTGTGTGATCTGAAATTTTTTGCGACTACACAGAACAACAGCTTGTAACATCTCATGAGGACTAACGTGAGCTTTAAAATTTCTCGGATTCCATAGTTTACGTAATAATTCTCCGAATCTCTGGACGAGGAGAACCATCTGATCCCCTGGTGGTCGTTTTATCTTTTTATAATTCTCTTCTTGCAGGAAGAAATTTCTCAATGGTGTAACATGGGATAACGACTGAAATAAATATGACGAAACAATTCAAACTTTCAAATAACACACTGTGTATGTTTTAATGGTCAAGAGCGAGACATTAAGTATTATATTGATACTGTAAGCGGCGTTAGCTGAGTGTCGTTTCAATATATTACGCAATGTCTTAAAATACAGACAATGCAAGGTATACTGAACAGTAATCGTGACATGCACAATGTAAGGTTTATTTAACGGTAATATTGACGTGCACAATGTAAGGTATATTGAATAGTAATTGTGACATGCACAATGTAAGATATATTTAACAATAAACGTACATGCACAATGTAAGGTATATTGAATAGTAATTGTGACATGCGTAATGTAATATACATTGAATAGCTTACCTGTAGAATAACATTACAGTAATCGTTAGCTTTGATGTTATTTAAACCAACAATACCTGGAAAACAATCAAATACACAGAATTATCCCCAGCAACTTTCTCGGACAACATCGGGATCGAACCCGGGACCTCCAGGTTAGGAAACCAGTGCTGTCTTGACCCTCGTCACTGAAATCAAAAGGGGTTAACATCCTACTTTCTGTTCCGACTTGGCTAATAACAACAGGCACATGCCATCCAGTGTGCTATGGGGGAAATTTTGCCTGGACAGTGGCACTACGGCCTACTCTCTTATATCAAGAATTCTTTTACGTCAATGTGTACACGGAACCTCATTTTTTTCGAATCCCTTGGAACGACTAAACAGCTGTCACCGGGATCGAACAGGGGACCTCTGGGTTAGCTAGCGAACTTCTTAATAACTGAGCCACTGCAGCTCCAATAAAGTAATAAACCTACCAGGAAGATAAGTTGTATTATCATAAGCTCTGGACATCTTGGCTGTAATATCTAATCTCTTGATATCTCGAGCTGTAAACGTTGGATTTAACACATACTGAAATTATAAAATATACATTTACTCTAATTATTATACATTTACTGTAATTGTTAAATATTATATATTATACATGTTATTACCATTAAACTTTATTCATGCCTTATTATATATTTACTGAAATGATTAAAATATATTCATGTGTTATTATACATGTACATTTACTGAAATTATTCAAATATATTTATGTGTTATACATTTGTTGCAGAAATACTGTTTCAAAAGAAACATGCCCTGACATTAAACTATAACACATACTTACGAAAAAAACAGCTACTAATTTTTTTGGGCAAGAAAAATTAATGGGGTTTAGCATCCACTCGACACAAACTAGGTCATTTCGGGACCAAAATATGGTTCAATTTTATTTCAATAAATCCCTTGAGCATAGGGGTCTATAGCAGTGGGAGGAAACCCGAGAACCCGGAGAAAACCCACAAGGTTGGACAGGTGACCCTACTCCTTGTCACATACAACCGGTGAATCGAAACCACGCCAGCTGACTCAATGACAGATCTTATGATACAGCATGTACGTGCTAACTATTCGGCTATCCAACCCCCCAAACTGATGGAAAGCGATCAACTTACTATAATATCTTCGAGAGAAGAATCTTTTATTTCATAATTATCAGGAATACAGTAAAACTTGTGAGTTTGTAAATTTAAAAATACATGATGACCTTCAAATACACTGTGGGTATAAGCATGAGTGTTGTTACCTCGACCTGAAATAATACATTTATAATTACTATGGTTTCCAGTTTATTGTGCCTATTTCTATTATAGGCTAACAGGGATTGACATTTGAAAAATGTAGGTTTTTAGAACCAATCTGATTAAAAGACGGATCCTGTTTTGTTTCGTTTTTTATAGTTCAAAATTTCGTTTTACTTGTCTTTACTAACATTAGGATCTAGAAGAGTTGTTATATATCGTAGGCTAGTGATGGCATCATGAGTTGATTATGGTCTGGATAAGTTAATTAATGTCTAACTAATAATTTAGATAACATTTCAGGACTAAAGAAAGACCAACAATAGACAGATTTAGCTCTTGCATAATATCATCGCTCGCCTGTGATATTTACTGGATTATAATCCAATCTGCTGCCCAACACTCATTCATGATTAAATCAGAAAAATGGATAATCAAGACTATGTTTTTTTATTGTACCGACTTTAGTACTGATGATCGAGGCTAGGCCCAAAATTCAATCACTAAATTCTCGTTTCAGAATGTGGATAAATTTGACTGAAATTTTCAGCAAATCTTCCATAATGTACCTTTAAGTTGGCCTTTGCTACAATTGGACTACAGGTACTCAAGTAGTTTAATATTACCTTGAAAATATTTTCCACAAACCAGACAGGCATAAACATTGATATGTGACAAAGACACTGAACAAAGTTTCTCAAAATCAAAATCTAAAAGAGATCTGAAAATAGAAAATTCAATTTAATTGAAATATTAATTAATAATAGTATGTGTACATAAACGTTTATTTCAGATTCTTTGGAGCTGCAGTGGCTCAGTGAGAGGTCTCAGGTTCATTACTAGTGCTGGACGAGAAAGTACCTCAGAATTTTCCGCCATAGTTTCCTCTAGTCAGTGATGCAGGACAACTGTCTAGTTATTCGGATGGAACGGAAAACCAAGGCCTGTGTGTATACATTGGTATGTACGTAAAAGACCTGTTGACAGTTGGAATTCAATATAAGAGTATGCTGTAGTGCCGCTGTCCGGGCAAAATTTCTCTCATAGCACACTGCATGAAGTATGCTTGCCTTCATTAACCCAGTCTGAGCAGAACAATATTATATTAAACATACATTATGCAAGAGGTAAATCTGCCTATTGCAGGTCTTTCTTAGGCCTGAAATTTTTTCTAAATTATTAATTAGGCATTAATTAACTTATCCAGGCCATAATCAACTCTCGATGGCATTGGATTTTTCCGATATTAAATAGATTAGAACAGTTCAGCCATATTTTGAATTAACCTAGAAATGGAAGAGCGAAACTTAGCTTCGAACAACCAGTATGGTTGTTGAAATTATTGCAAACATCTTGTCAACCCCTCAAAGGCTAATGTCTTCGCTCGCAATAGAGTACCGGTAATTTAAATGAAATTGTCTATTTTCGGACCATTATAGCAAGAATGGCTAGCTCTTTATCTAAATCTTACATAATGTATCTTTAACCAGCATTTCATTTTATTTGTTTCAAATTCACCTGAAAGAGAACCAGCGGCTGCCAGGCAGGATACGCCCACATTTTCGAGAGATGGATAGAAAACAAGCTAAAACGAAAGTGATTTTTCCTACAATACAGGAAATTACAATTCGATATGCGCAAATATCGAAAGGAACCAAGATCTTTGAGTTATAAACTTACATTTCAAGTTTCAACAAAATCAGATAAAAATTGTGACCTCTATAGGTTCCACAACCTTGATATACCTATTTTTACGCAATTTGAGAACGGGGGGCGGCCATTTTGTCTGTCAGTTTTGGGCCGATTTTCATGATATTCGAACTCAGTCGTCCTTAGGGTATAACGGCGAAATAATAATACGTTTTTTTAAATCGGATAAAAATTATGATCTCTACAGGGTCCACAAGCTAAAAACGCGATATTTCGTACAATCAGGGGCCATAATTCATGAAGTTACGGTCCGATATGCGCGAATATCGACAGGAACCGAGATCTTTGTGTTATAAACTTACATTTTAAGTTTCAACAAAATCGGATAAAAATTGTGACCTCTATAGGGTCCACAACCTTGATATACCATATATTTACGCTATTTGAGAACGAAGGGCGGCCATTTTGTCTGTCAGTTTTGGGCCGATTTTCACGAAATTCTAACTCAGCCGTCCTTAGGGTCTAACAGTAATATATTAACACGTTTTTTTAAATCGGATAAAAATTATGACCTCTATAGGGTCCACAAGCCAAAAAACGTGTTTTTGCGTACAATCAGGGGCCATAATTCATGAAGTTACCGTCCGTTATGCGCGAGTATCGAAAGGAACCGAGATCTTTGTGTTATAAACTTACATTTCAAGTGTCAACAAAATCGGATAAAAATTGTGACCTCTACAGTGTTCACAAGCTAAAAACGTGATTTTTCGTACAATCAGGGGCCATAATCCATGAATTTACGGTCCGATAGATGGCAATATCGAAAGGAACCGAGATCTTAGGGTGATAAACCTATACTTCAAGTTTCATTGAAATCGGATAAAAATTGTGACCTGTAGACTGTTCACAAACAATTGTGGACGGACGGACGTACATACGAACGGACAGGGGCGACGACAATATAAGTCCACATGAAAATGTGGGGGTATAAAAACTAAATCTACCACAGGTAACTGTTTTATCCGTCGTTGCACAGGTAGAATTGTGTAGATAAATGTTCACTACATCATAGCCTTGTAAATATCAAACAGTATTGAACCATTTTTGGACTGATTCATCTTTCACAATATTGTAGTCAAAAAAAACCCACAGAGAAATAGGGTTTAACGTCCACTGAACACAAACTAAGTCATTTCGGGACTAAGATGGTTCAATTTTATTTCAATAATTTGCTTGCGCGTAGGGGTCTTAATTATTAGTGGGAGGAACCAGAGGTTGGACAGGCAACCCTACTCCGTGTCACGTACAAGTAGGGAATCAAAATCACGGCACATGACTCAATAACAGACCTAATGATATAACGTGCACATGTTAAACCATACAGTCACCCAATCCCCTACTCAAATAACAATCACAGACATCAATCTAAAGTTTCTTGTATAAAAGTCAGCGAGTGGTTTTCTGCCCGGGACTGTACAGAACAGTGGACTCTTATGGCTGACCCCTAAATGCATTCACTTAATCTGATATATTTACTAAATACAGTTGTTGTTTATTGCTTGCAATGTCTGTGTATATTGTGTGTACTGTGTTGTGTACTGTGTGGTATCTGTGTATATGGTGTGTTGTGTCTGTGTATATGATGTGTTGTGTCTGTGTATATGTGTTGTGTCTGTTTATATGGTGTGTTGTGTCTGTGTATACGGTGTGTTGTGTCCCTGTATATGGTGTGTTGTGTCTGTGTATATGGTGTGTTGTGTCTGTGTATATGGTGTGTTGAGTCTGTGTAAATGGTGTGTTGTGTCTGTGTATATGGTGTGTTGTGTCTGTGTATATGGTGTGTTGTGTCTGTGTATATGGTGTGTACTGTGTTGGGTCTGCAGTGTTGCTTATGTGTGATGCGCTCCACGATCAAGTTACCCACCTGTTGATTGTGTCCAAATAAGGACATGAACGACTTCTGTCAACTTTGGAACCTTTTACTGGAGTAACTGAAATGAAAGTAAATTCTTAGGATTTATAAAATATTTACACAGACCCTGCCCAAAAAATATTAATTTCTTAAACTTTAGTCGGATATTACTGTGGAGGTTGGTGGCAACTTGTTCTCAGGCTATATACAGTCGTCGTTGTTTGTATTTTAGAGGAGAGCCGAATAAAGCTTCCCTTAATCAACAAATTGAAAAAATCGCTCCCCTAAAAAAGCTTTCCCAGTTTCGATAAGGAGAATGATTTAGAAATTGAGGAGAGTGATCTGATATTAAGGCAAGTGATTAGTTGTGTGTATGGGAAATGGTTCTGAAGATCAATAACTGCATGTTAGGGGGTCATTCCTGGTTTCATAAATGACAATAAACCCCCTATGACTTTGTAAAGGAGAGCGTTTTTTAATTTTAAGGAGAGGGAGAAAAAGCTCCCCTCGATCGACATTCAGGTGAGTGGGAGGCGCTTGAGAACGATCACTCGCCTTAAAAAACAATGACTGGCTAGGCTGACCTTAAAAATATCTTTGTTTCGCCTAACGCGACCGACTAACTAAAACTAACTAAAAAAAAAATCTGAAAAAAAAAAACGACCTACCGACCCTTCTCCTCGATTGTGGGTCGGGTTTGGTGAAACAAAGATATTTTTAAGGTCAGCCCTATATGTATATGAGAGATAGAGAGAGAGAGAGAGAGAGAGAGAGAGAGGGAGAGAAAATGGGTTTAACGCCCCTACACGTACTTGACACAAACCAGGTCATTTGGGGACTATTTAATTTCAATAATTCGCTTGCGCGTAGGGGTCTTTAGCAGTGGGAGGATACCCGAGGGCCGAGGACCAGGAAAAAACCCACGAGGTTGGACAGGGAATCTAAAACACACCAGTTGCCTCAATGACAGACCTTTTGACACAATACGCACGTGCTAACCATTCGGCCACCCAACGCCCTGTATACATTGTACATGTATGAACCTGAATGAAGAACAAAATAATAAAAACTTGCCTTTCACTTCATCTTTAGAATCCTCTGTCTCTGTTTTAACTTGTTCTATCAGTCTCTTTTTAACACCAGATTGATTGACAGCTATAAATAGAAATAATAGAGACATCCACTCGACACAACTAGATATTTCGGGACTAACGCATTGTTCAATTTTATTTCATTAATTTAGAAGTGGGAGGAAACTGGAGAACCTGGAGAAAACCCATGATTTTGGGACGTGGACCTTTCTCCTTGCCTCGTACGTGCAGGGAATTGAAATTGACTCAATGACAGACCTTTCACCTTATGATCTGACATGCGTGCATTTAACCTTTCGAGCACCCAAACCACTTATATAATAATAATCCTTAGTTAATGATCTTATTGACAAACAATTTTGATCACTCAAAAATAATTTCTAATTTCTAGGCAATCTTAAACATTAAGACCGTGAAACTGACCCTAAAAAATCAGGTTAACTACAGCTACTGAGCTAGCAACTGCTCATACTATTATAATTTATAAGATTTGAAGCCAAAATAAAGACAGATTTAGCTCTTACAAAAATGAATAATTAAATCTGAACGAAAAAAATCATATTAACAATAAATCAAGAATCAACTAACTGGAAAATGATCGTAAACTCAACGATTAAAAAACGTATGGTCTGATTCCCAGTATATTTATATTTACCTCCCCTTGCCCGATATAATTTTGATGTTAACAAAACGTGTAAATCAAATGAATTTTGTTGCAGTAACGTATTCCGCTATTTGCATTGGACAATTACTAGCATTATACCCACCTTCACCAGAACGTTCTCTTTTAATTCCTTTCATAATACCATGTTTACTATCCCGCTGTCTGGGGGCCGCCATTTTCGCAAACTTCGTTTTGGGATCGTCAACGTCTAAAACCATGACATGGATCATTGACTGTTAAACAATTATTATTTGAAAGGGTTTTGGCTTCATTGTTATATCCTGGAAATAACCCCACATACATCTATCAATGAATTCCAAATTATTTTTTCTTTTTTATATTTTTGTTACTGAAAATTCATCTTTGAAAATAAACGTTTAACTTGATTGATCCGAGGTCTGTAATTTTGAGTACCTTATTGACGTCATTGTTTTAGTTGTTTGTGACGTTTTACACACGGAAAGAGTTTTTTCTGCGGTTGTCAGACTGGAAAGATTCCAATATTCCTGCAAAAGCAGATAAATTTTATATGAAACTTTTAAAGAAAAGGTTTTATTGCGAGGCTGTTGTGAAACATGGAGATTTCACCAAAGCAGCGTCTTGATATGCAACATGGATTTATGAAATGCATTGTCAAAAACCAAATTGACAGGTAAATATTTCGGATTCTTATTCTCTTAATCAGTACGTATCAATGGGTGTTCCAGCTAAGCTGCTCCAGGGATCTCTTTACAATTGAAATATAATGTAAAACACCTAGCACTGTAGTCCGGGTATCATTTAATCTTGCGTATCTAGCACTAATTTCCTTCACATTCATTCAATATCAAATCTTTGTTTAAAAATTCATAAAAATTATTTTTAAAAATCAACCAATTTGTAGTCCTACTTGAGTGAGTTTAAAGCTGACCATTCAGTTTTGATAATGAGTGTCCAATTCACAAGCATTTGATTTCTTGATCACTGTTAAAAACCCAAACAACCCAATTGATTATGGATGGATGGATATATAATGATTAATTTTTGAACAGTGGTCAGGAAATTAAATACTTGTAAATTGGACACTCATTATCAAAATTAATCAGTCAGCTTTAAACTGGACACAAGTACAAATTAGATGATTTTTTTATGATTTTAAACGATTTTTACAAATTTTTAAACAAATATTTGCTATTAAACGAATGTGAAAGAAATTAGTGCTAGATACACAAGATTAAATGATACCTGGGTTACAGTGAGTATATTAAAACATAAAATCAAATTTTAAATGTCAACATGTTCACAGTTTAAAAAGTTCAGTTTTAAGATTATTTTTAAAAATAGCAACGATTATTAGTGTTTTTGACATGGCCAGGAAACTCATTCCACACTTTAGCAGAGGCATAAACAAAGGTCAGAATCACCAGCTATTAATATTTAAAAAATCAAAATTTAAAACACCAATCTTAGAATTAATTTGTTGATAAATTGCTTGAAGCAATCAAAAACTGATGTGTCACTCCTTTCATATACGGTACATGAAAGAAACCTGAACACCAACTAGTACTGCACTGTCAAAATTCCCTTCTCTGGCATTGAAAATGTCTCCATAGAGAAACTAACCATATGTTAGTCTCAAAATGACCAAACTATTCTATCCCTACATGTTTTAAAATTCAGTAGTGTTTTTAAGAAGTTTATAGCAAGTAATTTTGCAATATTTTTGTTCATACTATAAATGTATGAACAATGTACATCTAGCTAGGCTAGTACTAGGATTTTTGATAATAAGGCCTGGAATGAAAAAGTGTCAAGACTTTCAGATAGCCCGAAAAAAGCAAGGTCCCATATATATACATGTATATATGCCGATGACAGCATGTTAAGGATCTTCTGACGGTTGGAAATTGATGGATTGAAATGGTGTTTAACGTCCACTCGACACAAACCAGGTCAATTCATGAATAATAAATGGTTCAATTTTATTTCAATAATTCACTTGCGCATAGGGGTCTTTAGCAGTGTGAGGAAACCGAAGGACCCGGAGAAAACCCACGAGGTTGGACAGGCAACCCTATTCCTTGTCACGTACAACTGTGAATCGAAACCATGCCAGTTGACTCAATAACAGACCCTATGTTACAATGCGCATGTGCTAACCATTTGGCCATCCACCCCCCTATAATTGAAGTATTCTGTCAGGTTTCCACAATAATGTGGTAGTATTTGGCAATATTGAGTACCGGTAGATTGTTCCGCCAAACATGTGTAATACATGTACCAATACCATTTTGTAAAGTTTTTATGTTTGTTTTTGGGTTGTTTTTTTTTAGGGATAATTATGATAAAGAAGTAAGATTAGCGAAACATGTAGACAAGACAAAAAAGAAAAGTGGTTACCATGGTAACAAGAAACCAGAAATACCGACTTATGTTCCTCCATCAAAACAAGGAAGAGGTAAAGTGGGGGGGGGGGGGGGTTATATGAAATAAATATGTGTTCATAATTGACTGTTTAGTTGACCATGTCCACAATAAGGTGATTTCAGTGGGTGGGGTTTATAAAAGTGGGAGAAGCTACATGTACAAGTCTGTAACGGAAAGCTTAATTCGGTATTATAATGAATATATGTAAATCTTCTTTAGCCTGGTAGGAGCAGAACAGTAGGACGTTAAATGCCATTTCATTTCAGCTTACATGTACCATTGTTAATGTTGAACCTCGCCATTTTGAAATTGAATCATTAAATGGCAACCCTGTTTTAATCTGTTTAAATCTCCACTCTAGAGAGTGGATCATAGGCTTACTAGTTGCCATGGGAATAAATGCCTGAATAATAGTTTATCTAACATTTGAAGCCAAAAGAATAACCTGCGATAGGTAGATTTAGCTCTTACATAATGTATCTTTAAACATACATTATGCACATGCCAAATCTACCTATTGCAGGCTTTCTTTAGGCCTGAAACCTTATCTAAATTATTAATTAGACATTAATTAACTTATCTTGACCATAATCAGCTCTCGATGTCATCACTAGCCTGCGATATTTACTGGATTAGGTTCCGATTTGCTGTTTGACTTCCATTCATAATTTAATCATGAAATGGATAATCAAGACTATGTTTTTTATTGTACCAACTTTAGTAATGATGATGAGGCTAGGCCGAAAATTCAATCGCTAAAATCTCGGCTCATAGTGGATCAATTTGACTGAAATTTTCAGCAAATTACCTTTACATTATCTAGTTTTTAACTATTATAGCGAGAACTGCCAGCTCTTTATCTTATCTCCCATAATGTATCTTTAATTATCAATTACATGTAGGTATACATCATTTGTTTTACAGATCCAAGAAATGAGTTATTTATCCTGGAATTTGAAGATCAGGATGAAAATCTTCATTCTATAATGATCTACAGGGTAGGAAATAGTTCTAGATCTTTCATTCAATTTCAAATAGTAGGAAGAATTGTTATTATAATGGAAATGTTTATTGCTTTTAGATCCAATCAAATCAAAGATCTTACAAAGAGTGATATTAATACAGACAGATTGTTAGTATGTTTGTTGGATGTGGAAACACAATCATGACATCTGTATAACTTTGATATAACAACATCATTATGAATTATAACCTCTAGGCATGTGGCAACACAACCATGGTATCTGTACCCTATCAGGTGACAATACCATCAATCATGGTATCGGTACACTTCCAGGTGATAACACCATCATGGTATCTGTACCCTTCCAGGTGGCAACATTATAATGGTATCTGTACCCCTCCAGGTGGAAACATTATCATGGTATCTGTACACTTCCAGGTGGCAACATTATCATGGTATCTGTACACTTCCAGGTGGCAACACCCTCATGGTATCTGTACACTTCCAGATGGCAACACAATCATGGTATCTGTACCCCTCCAGGTGGAAACACCCTCATGGTATCTGTACACTTCCAGATGGCAACACCATCATGGTATCTGTACACTTCCAGGTGGCAACACCATCATGGTATCTGTACACTTCCAGATGGCAACACAATCATGGTATCTGTACCCCTCCAGGTGGAAACACCCTCATGGTATCTGTACACTTCCAGATGGCAACACCATCATGGTATCTGTACACTTCCAGGTGGCAACACCATCATGGTATCTGTACACTTACAGGTGACAACACCATCATGGTATCTGTACCCCTCCAGGTGGAAACACCATCATGGTATCTGTACCCTTCCAGATGGCAACATTATCATGGTATCTGTACCCCTCCAGGTGGAAACATCATCGTGGTATCTGTACACTTACAGGTGACAACAACATCATGGTATCTGTACAGCTCAGAGCAAGATATTAAGTCTTACCAACTTATTTCTTTATTTTTTCAGACAGATGATCCAGAAGAGGTCTGTAAAAAGATTGGCCAGGACTGTAACTTAACTACGCCATATATCAAAGCTTTAACGGACCGGTTAGCGGAGGAAATAAACAAACGTTTATAGTCGATACAATGGCTATCATGGCTATCGGTATTTGGATATAAAGATGATAGGATATCTCGGTGTTGACAAATGAAGGTTTAAAGATACATTATGTAAGATTTAGATAAAGAGCTAGCCGTTCGTGCTATAATAGTTCAAAAATAGATAATGTAAAATGAATATATTGAAAATTTCATTCTGAGCCAAGTTATCGCTGTTTGTAGTTTTGACAAGATGTGTGTATTGTGGTAGCCAGGGCACTGGTATATTCAAGTCTTGGCTTCGCATTCCAATTTTTAAATTAAATTTTTAAATCTCGAGTATCCGATGCCATCTAGAGTTGATTATGGTCTTGTCATGTTAATAAATGTCTAATTAATAATTTATATAACATTTCCGGCCTAAAGAAAGACCTGCAATAGGCTGGATTAGCTCTTGTATATTTAATATAATGTACATGTATGTTTAACATAATGTATGTTTAATTAGAATTACTGGTCATCAATCACTTGCTAAAAACAATATTGTGAAGGTTGAATCTCAGTTCAAAATGGTTCAATTCCATTTAGAATTTACAAAAGATATGAATAACAGAAATCCCCTGCATGCCACCTAGGAGTATTGGTATCTTTAAAGGGGAATTTAGTGAAAGCGATATATAATAACAAACAGCTTTATGGATAACATTCTAGGTTTATTAACTGCTACGTTTCAGTGAGGTTACTCTCACCGTTATCAAGCAAT